TGATTTTATATATATATAATAGTTTGCACATGAACTGTTTTAAATAAAATTTGTGTATAATATTTATCTAATAACTATTAGTAAATTTTGTATTCTTCTATTTCTTCATAAAACAAGTGGTCCCTCTTATACCTACTTGAAACATAGTGAATGTTGTGCCACAACTTTTATGCAGAAGTTTATTGACTTTTTGTCATGCTTAGGATAGTAATAAAAAGCTTATTATGATGTTAACTTCGCAGTTATGCATTTTATATTATTCATTACTCACTCAAAAAATAATTGAAAGAAAATGACCAAACATAAAAATTAATAGTACACCAAAAAACTTGAAAACCAACATCTGCTTGAATGCTCAAATCAACCGTCACTTGAAATATATTAATTCTCGTCCTCTCTTTTCGTTATCACAATTTTTTTTCTGATTATGGTGAATCACTGTCACGCTTACAAACAAAAAGCAAATGAATGATTCAAAATTTAAAGTCAATAATAAAAAAGAATATTACTTTCCCACTTAAAATTGAGTGTCTCTTTAAAAATTTACATATTACTACTCCGTCACTTTATTGACTTCCAAATTAAAACCAAAAGCTGATAAAGACGGAAAAAAAACATAGTATGTTGCCATCTCCATTTTTAAGAAGAACATCATTGCTCAAGTTTGATATCCAACAAAAAATTATGAGCTCCTTTTTAATTCCTTTTGATGGGTTGGCCAAAACGAACAAGAAAAACAACTTCTAAAAATCCTATGGCGAGGTGAAAGAAATTGGTTCTTCATCATATATACTTGCTTTTGAGGAGCATTTGTTTTTTAGATTTGATTTAAAGTTGTTGCTTCTCAAATGTCAAGCTAGTGAATGTGCTCTCCTTTATTTTGCTCTTGATCACTCTTGATATATAAGAAAATGGCTGCACTCCCCCACATGTAATAGGCCCAAAGTCCAAGTCCAACTAATGCAAAAATAGCCCTCATAACCAACAATAGTTTGGAACATTTCTCGCTGAAACAATTCAAACAAATTAATTGATTGGTGACTAAGTTTCAAGAAATTCTAAAGTTGTTTCCCAATTTCATATCGTTTCTTAAGGCAAGAAAAACCTGGCTTCTTCACCACCATCAATCTGAAACACACAATGGATAGAAATTATAAAAATTGCCAAAATCAAGAGTTGTAAACGATGAAAAAAAATTAACAGGGTAAGGAAAAGAAAATGAGGAAAATAGGAAAGGGAAAGAAAAGAATAGTGCTAAAAAACTGTAGTCTATTTGTTGTATTTTGTTAATTGAAAGTTGTAATCATGTAACGAACAAATTATTCATATCTTCGTTCTTGATGGATTTTTCCAACTTCTCCTTTCGGTTGAATCATGACCTTGTATATACAGTTATAATCTTGAATAAGAAAATTTTTAAACCAACATTAGAAGGTAGGATGATTTAGCAGAGGGGTGTTCTATGTCTTTTAAGTTCTACTTGTATAATAAATGCTTATATTCAATGCATGATAAAATTGGTATTATAGAGCGTATTAAGGATATAATAGAAAAATAAAAAATTTTCATCCTAAGCCACTTTTATAAGTAGTATAGATTATTGGGGGTGAGGGTAAAAAGGGAGTTTAAGGGTGGGTGTGGTGGTAGTGAGGGAATTTATGGTAACAAATGGTGGTTGGTTGTAGTGGTGGTGGTGGAGAAGGAATTTACGAGGTGTAATGATAACGGAGTTGGAGGTGGGTTGTGATTATGGGGCGCGTAAAAGTGTGCTAGTTGCAAGTTTTGTTTTTAAAAGATAAGGGTTCTACAATAATGGCATCACAAAAAAATATTGGATTATAATAAGGGATAATTTAGTTTTTTTTTTTGTATAATCTATTACATCCGTTAATATTGACAATTTATTCACAAGTTGGACGAGATTTAGTGAAATTCGTAATTATTGAGAGGGGTGATAGACCCCAAGTTCAAGTAAATTTTATGTAATTTGCCCTAAAAAACTAAGCATTTAAGCTGGGCTTGAACTCGACCGGTCAGCAAAGACCACATAGATAAATTACATGAAAGTGCCCACACCGGACATAAACACTTATACAAAACCGTAGCTATCCCTCTCCCCATTTCCACCGTCTAGACAAGGGAACAAACTTGGGGGTGCAACTTGGACAGATCAACCCAAATTTAACCGAATCTAACCCAAAAAAAATAAGGTTTTGGTTGAAATTTTTAATATTTAGATTGAGCATGAGTTAAAAAACATTAACTTGAATTGAATTTATATAATAACTTGATTGAGGTCTCACATTACTGGGTTCGACTTGAATATTATGGTTTAACATTAAGTCCAGTATATTTTTTTATATTAGTTTGGCTATTGTGGCTATTATCTTTTTATGTTAAGAAAAATGTAATTTAGTTTTTATTAAGTATGTTTTTTTATACTTAATATTATGGTTTTTATATTAAACATCTGATTGAAATTGTTGGTTGTTATTTCAGGTGTATATTATGTAATATGTACCAGATTTAAAGCAACAGGCTAATTTCGGGCATGAACAATCCCAACCCGAAATAAGCCCAAATAACTCGAATTTAACTTGAGCCCGTTTGAGTTTAACTTGTGCAATACTCGAATTGAATATCTCGAATTGAGTTTAAATTAGAGTTAGGGTTAAAAATTTTATACTTAGAGTTGGATTAGGTTTGATATCTCAACCCGCCCAAGTTTATACCCTAAAAGAGACTGAAATCAAAAAGGTTTTCCTTCTATGAAGATGGATTTTTGAATCAAAAAGAAAAAGTAAAAATTGTTTTATTTTTATTTTTTTATCTCTTGTAGTCTAATCTAACTTAATTTTTTTTAATGACCAGCGTACCTTCTTACTAACTCATGTTGATTTGGTGGCAACTTCTTCTTCTTCTTCTACATTTCTCTCGCTCTCTTATACTTTTTTCACTAGAGCATATCTTGAACTCACTCTACTTCAAGCCGCATTAGCGATTTGAGTTAATCTGAGATGGAAACATGGACAATACTCATGTTGAAGCTTGGAGTTTCACAACATAGATATTTGACTGTGTGACCACCGAATAATAAATAAAATATAAATAAATGGAGCTAATCTCCGCTGTCACAAGTCCGTCCTGACTAGGTAGCCGCCAACATGGAAGCGGCGTAGTCGTCGTTGAGTTCACCGCATGAAGAAGGCGACATAATTGTCTGTGATACTATTTGATTTTGTATTTTTTTCAAATGATTGCAAGTTTGTGTGTTTCTCGGTTGTTTCTTCATAGTCAGCACAGCATCTTTGCCTCGGGTGCCCATGGCTTTTCCTGCCGAGGGTCCCTCCTTTTTAAAAACCCCTTTGCGTCTACAATGGCATTTGGTGACCCTCTGCTTTGGTCCCACGCACGCCATCAATCAATGGTCTTTTGTTTTTTCATAATACATCAAAAAAATAAATACATTTTATCCTTACAATATCAATTAAATAATTTATTTGTAGTTTTTTGATTGCGTAATTTTTCAATTCATATCATATCAAATGAGAATAATAAACTTTAGTGTATTAATAAGGTTGTATTATTAAATGTGTGTATATAATTAGATTACATTAAACTGTATTAAATATAAATCATGCAAAAACAAAATTCATCTTATATCTATATACTGTTGTATATGCAACCTGTTTATAGAAACTCGAATTAATAAGCAACCTAAAACAGTTTGTATACTGTGTTAGATATAAACTAATCTAAACATAATGTATAACCAATAAAATAAGTGCATTCACGATGGCACAAATCTGCATGAACAATTAAATTAGAAAACTAAAATATACAATCCGAGCTTTTTGTAACTATAATTTTTTTAAGACAGATTGTTCTCTCTTGGTGTTCAAGGTACCTTTCAAGAAAAAACAGATTTTGTCTTTGTAAAAGTAACACTTAAATGTCTAAAGATCAACAAACACAACTTATGTTTATACTTGAATCGAACGATGAACAGAACACACAAGGAAAAAGATTATTATTTTTCCTTAGTATATTATTTTTTGAGTTGGGTTCACTTCCTAACTATTGGGTGCACTCATTTTTTTAATTTATTTATTTTCTTTTAAATTCACTTACCATTCTCATTTTTTTAAGGTAAAATTTACCATCTTTTAAGGTTTTATTTTTTTTACTTTTTGATATCATAATATTTTTCATGAAAATGAGTCACAAATAGATTACCAATATTTCATATTCAGTCCATAATATCATATTATATAAATCTTAAATTGCATAAAGTATAACTTTTAAAGTTTTAATCCTTATTGATTATTAGTTTCACAGGCGTAACTTATCTTTTATTAAAAATTGTTGATATATTATACATTCTCTAATAGTTTAAAATTTTAAAATAAATAATTGTTTAACATAATATCAGAACAAGAGATCTTTACGTTCCAATCTCATTATCATCTAAATTATTATAAAAAATTTACGTATTAAGTCCAAAATTAGTCTGCATATTAGGAAAGGTGTAAAAATTTAAATATTTTAATTATATTCTCTTTAATAATTTAAAATTTTAAAATAAACGATTATTGAACAAAAATTAAAAATTTTAAAAAACTATTTCCCATAATTGCAATCTGGGAAAAATGAAAAAGTAGAGTAGTTACTTTTACAAGCCTTAAAAGATGTGCAAACTTTCAAATTTTTCTTACCCCTCTGCATGTACAGCACCTGTCCACCCCTAAAAGATGTGAGCAACCTAAATCTAGTTGTTAAACGAAGAAAGGTCGTTGAAACAGTAGATGCTATTTAAAAAAACTAATAGATCTATTCATCCAACGGCTCTTTTCATTTAGACCGCAAATCTGAGTTGTAAATTTGACATACACAATATTTTCCAAATTTTGTCCATCCATCTTATCCCGGAGCCTCGTTTAGCATCCCTCTCTCTCTCTCTCTGCCAATAAATACACTCTTCTACATAACCTTATGCCCAACTCTCTCTCTCTCTCTCTCTCAAATATGGCTTTTGTTATTGTAAATGCTTTTGTGCTTGTGCAGCTTTCAATGCTGCTACTGGGCTGCTTCACTGTACTTGGTGATGAGGTTTATTCAGTGAGTTGGACTCAGTCCCCTCATCTTCCACCAATCTACTCTCCTGTTGAAGCTCCTAAACCCGGCAAGCATCACCACCCCGGTCACCATCGTACCAGAAATCAGCCACCGAGCCACCCACCTCTTCAGCCCCCGAGCCACACACCTCTTCAGCCACCGAGCAAACCGCCGCTTCAGCCTCCCACTCAGCCACCCAGTTATCCTGTCTCAACCAGGGAGCTTGTAGCTGTGCAAGGTGTTGTTTATTGCAAGTCCTGCAAGTACACTGGGATTGATACCCTCTGGAAAGCTTCACCACTTGCTGGTTAGTTGGAAGTTCATAGTTGATACTCTCTTTAATATATGGATATAGTTAGTTTTTGTCATTTGAACTTTTTAAGTATTGGCTAGGTTTCTCTCAATCTCCATGTGTGCGCGCGCGTGTGTGAGAGAGAGAGAGATAGAGAGCATTTATCTTTGGTTGTAGCCTTGTGCTAGCTTGAATGATGCATCTTCGCTGCTGAGATGAATGCACATGACCTTGCAGGCATGATGTGTTTCTACTAGAGAGGTAGAGATTAGAGTGGTAGAGGAGAGAGGGGGAAGCATTTATATTTTTTTGTCACCTTGTGCTTGAATGATGCATCTTTGCTGCTGATATGCATCCACCATTTGTTTCTGTTATGGAGGGAGGGAGAGAGAGAGAGTTTTATCATTTGTTAATTGCTACTGTGAGAATGGTTTCTACTTTTCCCCAGTTTCCATCCCTAATCCCTTTAACATTAATTACTCTGTAGGTGCCATTGTGAGACTACAATGCAATAACACCAAGTACCCACTAGTGGTTGAATCCAAAACAGACAAGAATGGCTACTTCTTCATCATGCCACACGGAGACAAGAAGAAACTCACAACATATGGGTCCCACAAGTGCAAAGTCACCATAGTCTCATCACCCATAGCTACCTGCAACAAGCCAACAGATCTCCATGCTGGTTACAAGGGTGCCATCTTGATTCCAAGCCCTAAACCACCAGTCTCACCATCACCACACCCACCACCTCCATTCCAGCTCTTCACTGTTGGGCCTTTTGCTTTTGAACCTCTGAAGCGCTGCTAGAGACCACCATTGATATATATACAGTATTTGAAATACTGTAGTCTGTGATTTCTGTTATAATTTCTTTGGTTTTAATGGGCATAATTTGGGTATTTTAATCTTGTTGTGGGTTTGTTTGTAGCTAAAAATTATGTATGGTGTTGCCTTTGTGATAATGAACTGTTACTCTTAGATTTGCATTGAAATGTGAGCGACCACCAATGAATGTTATCAATTACTCTTTACTTTTTAAACTTTTCTTCAAAAGAAGAAAAGGAAAAAGTAGCTTTAAACAAAAGAATATTTGGATCATCATAATTTCAAATTGTGTTCTTCAATTTAAAGTTTTTTTTTTTTTTTATAGTTTTTGATCTTGTTTTAGTTATTTTATTAGATTAAATATTATGGCACAACTAGCCAACAGACAAGAAGGTAACGAATTAACCCGAAAAGATAGATCAAGCGGTAATAAAGACGAGTTGTAAATTCAAACACTTAAACGATCTAAGTTTGAATATTGATAATTTTTAAGAGTGAGGTCATGAGAGATTTATTTTTTATAAATATTCTAATTTTAACGTAAATAATTTATCAAAAAAAAAAAAAATTGAAGTGTGTATAAATTAAATCAATCACATCTGACAGTTGACAAAAAAAAAAAAAAAACTTCAGACGAATTTAAATTTAAACGTCTTGATTGGTTGTGTCACCATAGTTAAGTGTGTTTTGAGTTTAACTGATATTATCTTCACTTTAATTGTTACCTTTAGTTGGAGATGACGGAATAATTTTTGTGAATGTTTTTATGATTATTTTTATTATTATTGTGATATCGAAAAAAATAATTATCATAATAGTAATAAAAATATTTATAAAAAAAATAATTATAATAATAATAAAAATACATATAAAAATAATAAATTTATCTATAAAAATGATAAAAAAAAATTGTAAAAAGATTCATAAAAGTTATAAAAATATTTTTTTTAAAATAATAAATTTTAGAGAAATGAAATGAATTGTAAAATAATAATATTTCTGTCCTTAAAGATAGACCAGTAATCTTGCGCATGCATATGATAATTCCTAGGTTGAGGTTTTTGACAGTCTATACCGTTGGACACAGACCTACCGGAGATTCTGTTCCCCACTTTGGTATCCAATGAACTTTTTAGTACAAAAAGATGAGAAAAATTACTGTGTTTTGGGTGTTTGAATAAGGTTTTATGAGTGGAGATGTAATTTTACCAACGGCCTGTTGACTCGGTCGGGAACAATTCAAATTTCCTTAGTTCAAATTTTAAAATTATGATAATTTATTTTAAAATTTATTTTTTAGTGCTTAGAATATGTTATGAGATATTAATTTTGGTTTCGACGTAAGTGCGATAAAATTCATTGTAGATAGCGGTGTGGTGCGAACAATATTCTTTAGTAGATATGTGAAGCGATCAATCTCCATATTTATTTTAATGTACCAAAAAAAGAAGAGTAAAAATATAATTTTTGGGGTTTTATGAAGAGATTTTGTTCCCCACTTTGGTATCAGACGAATTTTTTAGTACAAAAAGATGAGAAAAATATTTGCTCTAATTTGTTGTGTTTTAAAAAATAATATTTTAAAATTATTTTTAGGAAGAGATTTGAAAATTTATTTTTAAAGTTTTTTGTGTTGTAAAATTTGTTTTGTTATATGAATTTAAAAACACTTTTACGGAATAAAAAACAGTAAAACTTGTTTGGATAATAACCCAAAAAATTATGAAAACAAAAATGTGGTGGTAGTGGTTTGGTGGACATAGTGGTGGTGGTGGTGGAAGGATAAGGGTGATGGTGACGGTATTTTTTAAATTTTAGAAAGATTGTTTTTAAATACATAAAAAATAATTCTAATTTATTCTCTAAATATATCCAACTTTTGTTCTCAGTTTCAAAAAAAAAAAAAAAAAAAAAACTAACCAAACAACTTTCCTTCTAAAACTGTTTTCAAAAAATAAAAAAACAATTACTGAGGTACAAACTAGGCCACTGTTTTCTAGAGTTTGACTGTGTGTTATGAAAGTAGGTATGACATCAAAATTTATAATTTTTATGAGTGAAGATGTAATTTTTGGGGTTTAGTTATGACAAAAATTTAATTTTTTGGGATCACGTTATAATATTTTGGGATGAAGTTAAAATTTTAAAGGTCAACTTATAATTTTTTTGGATCAACAGGTATTTGGTCTACTGATACTTTTTATCCGTAAAGGCTTTACTTTCTTGAGGTTAAAAGTTCAAATCCCTCTCTCTCCCTTCCCCTCCCTCAAAAAAAAGAAAATAATTTTTTTGGGTGTTTAAGATTGTTCCTAACATTCAATATTGATCCTAAATACTCTAAAAAGTTATAACTTAATCCTAAAAATTTACAAATTAACTCCAAAAATTAGTAATTAATGGTACCAAATCGAATTTATTTTTTTGATACCACAAACTTGTCAGGGTTTTTTTTTTGTAGTAGATCATATTCATTTATGAGACTCACAATGGTATTTCTTCACAATTGTTAAAAAAGGGTATTTCACAATTACTTGCTTTAATTTTTTTTTTCTTCTTTTTTTAGAGTAAATTACTAAAATAGCCCCTAAACTATAGCACTGATTTCAAATAAGCCCTTTAACTTTGTAATTTGTGTCAATTTAACCCTTCCATACAATTTTGTAACAAAATGAACACATACGTCCCTCGCATGATTAATCAAGAAAGAGTATTTGAGTAAAATAATAAACAATTAGAAATAGGCAACCCCAAAAACACACCACTGACGTTGCCAACCACCCCCTAACTTGCCCTGCCCCTCTAACCTAGCCACCGCCCCCACCCCTAACCTTCTCCCCCGAAACCATTCTACCGCCCTTCCCCATAAGAGCAAGAGCAAGAGCAATTCCAAGGGAGGGGGGTGGCATATATTATAAAGAGTATGTTCTTTTGAAAGGAAAGAAGAGAAACAAAGCCCTAACATGTTTTTGGGCATGTGGAGTACACTCTCTGTTAACTTAGATGATAAAAATAACCATTTCATATTGATACATAACTAAAATGGTATAACATTCATAATTTTAAATGTCAAGTAATTAAGATATTTTTAGCCAAAACCACAAACAAGTAAAAAAATAATTAACCCTTCTATTTTTGAACTCAGTTTAGAATCCCGTCTACTGGGCTAAGTTTTGGAAAAGATTGACTAAAAACATAGAGTCCCATTACAGGACTGCTGTCCAAATCGAAATTTAGTATGATGCTTCGGTTTTTTCATATGTAGTCTTATCCAAAAACATAAGACAAAAGTGAAAGGCTGGCCTTAATGTGGCGGTGGCAAGTAAATAATAATAGAAATTTGAAAAATAAAATAAAATAAATCATAGTTAAAAAAGTTTTGGAAATTGTTTGGAGTATTTTCGAAAAAATCGACTTTTCTTTACAAGTTTTTGTATGAGCCTTATTTTCTAGTTTTTTTTCTTGGTGCTAATAAAATTTATTTTTGCCCAAAAAAAATGATGGAAAAGTCGCCCAATAAGCTTGGGTCCAAACAAATCAGATTTTTTTTCCTCTAAAACAAAAAAAAAATGAGGTTTTAAGACAACCGAAAACAGACCCAAAGTTTAGATTTTGAGTTTCATTTGGGAGCAAATTTTGGTCAATCTTGAAACTCAACCTGACCCTTTCACCTACAAAATTCCTAGAATAACCATTGGTCTGCTGACAATTGGGACTCTCAACTACTCCACCACTCTCTTTCTTTAAACAGTTACGTCATATCAGCAACGTTGTCACGTGATATAATTATTTAATAATAACTCAACTATTAGACAACTTGACTCAACTATTCGTGTTGATTTGTTACTAAGCAAGTCGACTCAACTATTATCTAAACTCATTACAGATTTAAGTAGCATTAAATTGCATTTCATTTTTAATTCAATTTTTGTCATTCCAACTGCCCTTGTCTGGACTTACATTAACCACAACAGCCTTTGGACTACATTAGAGTGTGCACTAAAAGGAAGAGGATGTATAAGGGAGAAAATATTCCCAACAAAGGAACTTGGTTAACATGCAAATTCATAAATTGAAGACCATTTTCTTGTTGCTTCTTTTTTTATGCATGAGACGAAGAATTCTGCTCTCTCTGAGAATCACCACGGCCCAGAGAAAATATTCAGCGCTCACCAGGTACCACATGACCGTGCAATGTAGTAGTACATCATCTACAAACTATTATACATTCTGAATTATTTGTTATTACTTGTGAAGTTATCGGAATTTTTTTTTGTTGAAAAAATCAACTTGTGGGATCGCTTGTGATAATTTGTCATCGAGTGTAGACACCACCACATGACACTACCACTTGATGTAACAAACAAAATATCCACCATATAATGATGCAAAATATACTGATCATCATTCAGCCATCTTGCTTATTGAAGACAATAATAGTATAAGACTATCAGAACAACTGATCTTTCCACAACCCATAGTTCTTTAATATCAAAGTAAGAAATGAAATAGGATATAGGAGTGAACAACACAAAACAAGACCCCCACAATTTCAATAACAATTACCCTTCTCTTCTATGCCATTATATATACCTAACATTTCCCTCATATAGCCAAAAAGTAAAAAAAAAAAAAAATTAAAGAGTTGCTGAGCATGAGAAATATTTTACACCACGTCAGCATTGTCACATAATGTAATTGTCCAATAATAATTCAATAAGTGGACAAAGTGAACCTTTGTACTCCTTCAAATAACTACCCTTCGTTCAAGATAGTAACCACCCCTTATAAAAAAGAGGGGTTCACCTTCTCCATATGCCTACTTATTATTGTGCAGTTACATCACATGACAATACGTCGGTGTATTCGTTACAACTAATATTTACTCCTTCATCAAGTGTTCTTCTATGAAGACCTCAAAATGTACTTTCAATAAACCCCCACCCCCACCAAATGAGAAGTGAAATAGATTAGAAAGAAATGCAATGTTACACTTACCTAAATCTCGAAATTAGGTAGGACTCACCTAACCAGGAAATAAAATGCACCCAAGTTCTCTAAGCTAGGCAGCTCTTGATCAACTGTTCAACGTTCTTGTATTGATGATGAAACTTGGGCCGGTGAGAAAAGAGGATCCGAGGTTCCTCTCAGAGCAAAGTGGTTTTTCATCAACCTTGATAACAAAACTTAAAAGGCTGATTTTTTTTTTTTTTTTTGCAGCTGACATGATCCTCCGATCCAAACTCCTACCACCAATCCTTCAACATTGATTTTTTGCTGTTCTTTTGATAATTCCATTCCTACAAAGAGAAGTAAAGCAACCGAAAACTAGTCCGCATGACTATTATACTAGTTTAGGATGACGAACTATTAACTCAGACGTTCTGAATTCAACTCTTAGTATTGCCTTCCCAATTTAACCAATATTTTGCTTAACGGATGATAACAGATGTCCGATTTGACTCAATAGAAGTAAAGCCAATGGAAAGTAAACTAAGCTAGAAAGACCAGGTGAAATAAAAAAAGAAGATCAAAGATAGTATGGTTTTGCTAGATCTGAGAAGGGACAGAAGAGCCAAGGTTTGTAGGATCAAGCCAAGCACCTACACTCATGTTCCAAGAAAGAGAAGGATCAGAGCTGATCTGTTCGATCTGATTCTGGCTATGAATGTTCCAATCCAACCTGTTTCTGTCTTCCTCTATTTTCACTTCCCTCATAACCTTTCTTCCTTCACTGTTCCCTGGCATATTCAGATCTTCATAAGGTTGTAATCCCTGAAAATTACCAGAGATAAGTTTTCGGCTAGAAGCCATTGTTGAAGTAGAGGTAGAAATTGAAGATCCAAAGACAGGAAGGCTTGAAAGAAGTGAATTAGGGTTGAACCCATTTCGATAATCATAATTGTCAACCTCGCAACCCATTACTCCTGATGGAAACCCTAATCCAATAGCATTTAACTGAGGTTGAAGATCGTACCCCGAGACTGTATCAGCGTTGGAAACCCTAGAATTGAACCTAGAATATGGAAGATTTAGCTCAGAAAGACTAGAGGGTAAGCTATAAAACAAAGGATTTATATGGTTTGAAGTTGAAGAAGATAGATCCATCTGGGTTTGAAGAACACTAGGGTTTGAAGTTGCAGTACAAGCTGATGTTGAACTTGAAGGTGCATCAATGGCGGCTCTCCTGACCTTCTTGTTCTTTCTACAACCACCACCAACTGGAACGTTTCTTAGGGTTCCACCTCTAGTCCAGTAACGTTTACAAGCCTTGCAAAAGTGTCTTGGCTGAGACAAACTGTAGTTGTTGAAGTAACAGAACTTGGTGTTTGATGAATCGCAGCGAGGACATTTGAGGGGTGGTTGTTGTTGCTCTTGGGTTTGTTTTTCCATAGCCATACCTGGTGAAGCCATCATGGTTTTCTCATCAATCTGACTCTGCAGGAAAGAGAAAAGAAAGAGTTGAGGTGATGGTCTTAGGGTAAAAATAACAACACAGCAGAAATATTCTCTTCCAAAAGCTAAGAAACAAAAATGGGGTCATGTTTTGTCTAATAATGGAGAGAGAGAGAGAGACAGACAGAGAGTGAGAGAGGAGAATGAGCCTGTAGCCATTCGTTAGTGGCTGAGGAGATGACTGTCATCTTCTTCTCACAGTTACTTGGCATTTCTTCTCTAAAGGAATCGTTGAAACCAAGTGTAAACAGACAAAGAGCAGTTGGCGAGGTCTTTGTTGACGGGGCTTGCTTGATAATTGAGAGAGAGAGAAGCAAGATTGTCATTCTTCAATTTTAATTTCAAGTGAAGTGTCTCCTTTAAATTATTAGAGCAACCAAATGAGCCCTCTATGTGATTAGATTATATCAACTAGATTGAGGGAAAATATTAAAAGAGGGAGAAAGTTTTAGGGATTTGATTTTTATAAGGTGAACTTTAAAAAGCAAATAGAAATGAGGAGTCTTTTTACAGTAATAAAAAATATTTTTTGCTATTGTCTATTCACTTTTTATTCAATAAAAACGTGTCAAGTGTATACTTTTTTATTTTATTACTTCTTAATTAATGATTATAGATCATTTAAAATCAATGGCTAAAATTAGTAGAGGTACGATCAGTAAACTTTTATCAAAAAATAATAGGCATAATTTAAAAGTGTAAAATGTAATTATTGCTAAAATGAAATTGAGTTTATTAATGGCGGAATATGTTCTTAAAGTATCCTTCTTTTCAATTATCCATGGCATTTAGGGAAACAAAAGATTTTCCGAAAATTGTTATTCTAAGAAGTATAGCGAGAAGACACTATAAAAGAGGCTCGAACAAAAAAATTTAAGTCATAGTTGTCTTTTTGTTGTTTGTAGATTGCTCATCTTTTGCTTATTTTTGCTTCTCTATGCGAGAGAGGGGATCGGGGATAAAAGACAGATAGTTTGGACAAGAAGGTTTGTAATTGTTTGAGGAAGAAGGGAAAAACAAGAATGGTTGCTCATTGTTCAACCGTCCAATCCAAAACTCTTCTTTACGAACCAATTCGAGAATTTTTGAAATTCTAAGTCGGTTCAAGAAAAAGGAATGTTTGTATAAGTATAGAGAGATAAATTAAGGACCATATTAAAGATGAATCTTTAGAAGTCCAAGAAAGAAAGCAACTAAAGGACACTGCAGCATGCAAACCATAACATCACTGCATAAAGAGTAATGCTTTTGAGATTTACAAAATTAGTTTAATTTTTTAATTTAATAATGTGTTAAATAATAGTATTTTAACGAAAAAATTCAATAAATAATTCTACTAGACCATGTCATAACCACATTATTATGTCGATAAATTATATCAATTAAGTTTCAATATCATTACTCCGGTATAAATTATATTGAACGTTTTTTTTGGGTACTATACCTACAAATGATTTTGGGTCTTTGATTTTTTTATTTATTTATCTTTGACCATTAATTGTAAAAATAATAAATTAATATAAAATAATAAAATAAATAATCTTTACACATATCAATATATAATTAGAGAGAAAATAAGGTATGATACTGAAAAATTTAAAACCGACAGATAAATGTTATAGTTGAGATATACCTAGAGCTCAATACTCGAGGCAGTAAGACAGCAAATCCCACTTCCACTTTCTTTAAATTATCATTAAAATATATAAATATAGTATTATTTTCCGAATATTATATACTAATCTACCAACTAAAAATAGTATATATAATGCATTACAAATTCTCCTACATGTCTGGATCATGATCCAACCTTGTCAATGACAACTGTCACCAAGTGAAACGATAATGTGATTGATTATACTGTAAAGTAATACAACTATAATTTTATGTATATTCAATTATTTACATGTAAAGGACAATTAATAGTTAATTTGCCACTGTTTAGTATGAGAAGGGTGAGATGTACGAATTGTTTCAATTGTTTGAATCCATCATGCTCATCTGATAATAAAATAATATTATTATTGTAGCAAAGCTCGTCCTCTTTGGCCTAACTTTATTTTATACACTAGATTAGTGATGAAACACGAAATAACTCTCGTATTAGAGCATGACACGTGAACTTGAGCAATGAAAAACTGTGGAAGATGGTCGGTCCCGAAAATGAAATCTGAGGGAATATGTTCTATTAAGCTAAAGGAAAAAGGTGTATCTCAAGCCCGAGCATTTATCGCTAAACAGGTATGTGAGCCCACGATTACGTAATGAGTGACACAAAATGATTGCTTCTGCCTACAAGTTACATTAGAATGCACCTCTAATCTTAAGAAATTCGAATCAAAGTATGGCCCTTAGTAACGTAAATTTCTCGGGGACACGTGAACTTAATATTTGGTATTAACGCAATAAGTGTTTGGCACAACTGAATAAACGTCTTATAGATATCATTAAATGTTAAGGAGACTTGCATTCAGAGTTCGGCGTCCCGAATAAGATAATTATTACAAAACTAAAACCCAAGGAAACACCAACTTACTCCAGACCTAGTAATTGTGTGGCTTGAAAAAAAGTATAGCTAATTGATGATTACCCCTATGAAATCTCTCTCTATCAGCTTGATGGAACTCTTATAGTGTCATATCATCCTGTCAAAAGATATAAATAGTCCAATGAATTAGGTATCAGGTATGTATTCACGAGCAACCTAGCATAGTAAAAATCTTATCCTTCTTTTAAAACCATTGCTGGAATTTGCTTGTGCGTATTGTATATTATGGGACCAAAGTGGTACTGTACTGAAATTTCTTATTAACTTTAGAAATTTCATTTTATCTCGGTTTGTTTATAGTCATTAATCACGAAAATAACAAAATACAAAAAAAAAAAATCATGTGTTTTGTTTTAATACATGAAAAATAAGATATTTGTTACAAAGAACTATTTTTCGGTATCATTTGGATTCCCGCGGACATATATAATAATTTTTCGAATCCTATGTGCTAAAAGTCCAGGCATATTCCAAGTTGATATCTATTTCTGCACCTTTTAATGGTCCATGATATCATCTGCAAACAATTTCTGAGGTCATCAGATGAAGGGTACACTTGCATTACAAAAAACTATCTACATTAGAAAAAAGAAAGAATTGATTCATATATGTTGATTCTAGGTAAACACTGCAACCCCCCCCCCCCCCCCCCCCCCCCCCCACTCTCTCTCTCTCTCTGTGCTAGGGAAAAATGATTGAGAGGACAGCCAATGTGAAAATTTTGTCTGAACGTGACCATAACAACTTAAACCTGTTAGGGTAGTCCCAAGAGGGGTCTAGACGACACCCTCTACACTCTCTTTATTAATAACAGAGATAAAAAGGAAAGGACAAAGCAGGGAGCATGTGAGAATCTACATCTCAGAATCAAACCTGGTCAAGACCAGGCTTTATTCGCGAGGGGTTCTTTGATGTGCTTCATTACTCTTCCCCTCCTCCCTTTGGTTTGGAAGAGAAGAGAGAGAAAAAAAAAAAAAACCATTAATGGAGTGAGATTGTCAGTCATATTAAAAATAAGATTGGTTTTAATTCTACATATGATATAAAGGACTCGGCATAAAACTAGTAGATTGGTATCAACGATTTTTATGACAGAAAATTAAAAAATAACACAATCTACCAATACGAATAAAAAAACAGATTGAATAACGTCAAATCTCCACAACACAATATAAATCGATTTGATTAACAATCATAATATGAAGCTAGACGTCGTGCACATGCGCGATTGCTCATATAAAGAGGGAAATAGATAGTCGAACGAAGTTAAAAAGATAATGACTAATAAAAAATATTATAGACATTTTACGACTAGACACTGAAACTTCTCATTTCTCTTTAATAATTGTACAGATAGACACACAAACAAACCTATATTATAGAGAGAGAGAGAGAGAGATCATCCCCTAACATTCCATCACCCTGCCCTCTGCATGCAGTCTCCTTATTAAACTCGAATACTTTTGCTAATTAATTCTAACTATTTCACTTGGATCTTATGGCAATTGTACTATTACAGCCAATTATGGTAAAGGAAATGTTTAGGGTATCCAAAAGAAAATTCAATACGGTGCCGTTGTTATAAATTTTATGATTTTTTTAAAATAATTTTTTAGGATTATTTTTTATAATTTTTTTTTAAATTTAGGATCGATCATAAGTTATTACTCATTTTTTTTATAAACAAACCCAAAAATTTATATTAAAATTCACAAAAACCCCTAAAACTTGAAGGTACGATACTGAAATTATTTGATCTTTCCCCATCCCCAAATAGCAGACGCTAAAGGATAAGGACAAAAATCAAATCAATATAGATTGACAAAATTGTCGAACGACAAATTTGGTACGTTCTGAGTTGGAAATTTTTTTGTACATAAAAATTTTAAGTTATTACATATATGCTAAAAAAATTTACTTATAAAATGACAAAATTGAAATTGGACTCGCGTAACCTTTATTAGTTAGCTCAAATGATAACGGAGACACGTTATAAATTTAAATGTTCTGAATTCGAATTTTGACAATCTAGTGGGACCAGGTTATGATGAATACCATAATTCTTGTATGAATGAAGATGTCTTTAACCAAATCGAGAAAATGATTAATTGAGATATGCACAAATTGACCAAAACACACTATCAATTAAAAAAAAAATGAGTAATGTTATGTTTACTAAAATTTGTATCAAAAATATTTTTACTAAATGAGTTAACAGGTCCATATCCAATCAAAAACATTTTGATCAATATTTGGTAGGTGTGATATAAATCCGTCAATTCATTTAATAAAAATATTTTTTAATAAAATTTTTGTTAAGCATAACATTAATCTAAAAAAAAATACAGTGAAAATATCGTGAGATTAGGTTGACAAAGTCAAGCTTGGAATGTATGGCTTGTCTTGGCAAGGAGACATATCTGGAAGACAGAGATGCTAATGGTCAAATCACAGACTGAGTGGGTCCCACCTACCCCACAATTCTCTCTCTCTCTCGAAAATTTTCATTTTCAATTCCCACTCCCGCAGGACAAGAGATTCCAATTTGGTAAAGCATGAAAGAAACCCAACACACGCGTTAAAGAGAAAGTCTGCTGTTCAGAACAGTGATAAATGCAGAAGAAGATTACTATCAGGCTATTAGCCGAGAGAGAGCAAATTTAGTGCTGGCAGTGGGTCGTGTAACCTCCATTTTTAAAGTTTGTTTAATTTATACCCAGTACATTTATAGAAAATACTTATAATCGGATTTGTAATGTATATAATCATATTTATTTCGATTATAGTGAAATTTATATGGTATATTTGTGTTGACCCGTGTGATAAACTGTTGTACATGATTAACTTATCATAAATCAAGTTCATTTAGACTAAATCTCTATTAAGTGATTTCTTCTCAATTCTGTGTTAATTTGACAGGTCATGCTAACCTTATCTAAACTGGCTCTAATTACCACAACACCATACACATGGTATCAGTTATAATCGATTGAGATTTCCTCCGATACTCTTTTCCTTTCTATTTTCTACTTGCAGGATCACTCTCCATGCATTAGTGAAGGATTCAATTACACAATAAGTCTCATTAAAATTTAGTGTAAGTAGTCTCCTAAAAAAGGTAATAAAGTTAAAGCAAGTGCATTAGAGAAAATTTTATTCATTTGCGCTAAATACTCATTTGAACTCAAATGTTGGTTATCATAATTTGAACGGGTTTAAAACATTTACCTTGAGAAATAAAGGTAAGTTGATCATTAGAGGATATGAAAGGTGTTGAACTTGAGACATCTGAATTACCAAAGATCGAATCCAACTACTAAATTACTTCTAAGCGTTGTTTGGAGTTTAGGTTTAACAAATTCAGATTACATTTGGATTGATCATTCAGAACTATTTAAAACGATATGAATTTAATACGATATAAAATAGATTGTACATAAATATGAGCCATTGTCATCCTAATAAGAACATTCCGAATTTAAAATATTTGTTGGGGAATATTTCATCCCGATTGCCAATGCAACAACTTGCATTTTAAAATGGATTATTTCGTATGGAATTTCCTACCATCATATCTCTTGTGGGGTCTTTAGAATGTTGTGAACAATTTCTATGTTCTTAAATGGGATGACCAAACCAAAGTCTATATATGCATACCCAAGTGGGTGTGTGTGTGAGAGAGAGAGAGAGTGCGTAGGTCAAGTGGGTTGATTAGAAATTATAATTTTGTAAGATACTTATTTGAGAATTTGATATCATATCATAACGATTCAACTGTATCACATTTGCAAACTTCGAAGCCAAACCTCACATGATTTTTGGGACCAACGAGGCGCTTTAATCGCACAATTTTGGGTGATATACTTGAACAGAAAATGGTTATAATTCGACCCAAAATCAAAGAATTCAGATTAATAATTGACCACTCTCATTTATAATCTCCCCTTCATCCCACTTAAGACCAACAAGTATTTTGTAATAAGGTTTGATTTAGAGAGTCATGATTTCCCTAGTGGCATACATGTTTTCTAAAATATAGAATTGTACCTCCTCCACCTTATAGGAATTTGGCCCACCCACTCACTTTTTTCCATATAATCATTTTTTTTGGGGGGGAGGGGGGAGATAATGACATTGGTACCAAACCCTAGAAATTTGTTGCAATTTCATCCAATCTTTGAACATGACATGCTTGGTTGGATCGCATATTCCTGTCCTACACCATATAATTGCAATCGATTCATCGTTCTCTTTTTTTCTCCTTTTCTTTTGTCTCAAAATTCTTCCTCTCTCACACACACACAGAGAAAGAGACTCTGAACCACAACCCTAGACCATGAACCCGACCCCAGGCCTGGCCCCCAACCTAGACCCTGAACCTTGACATACGACCTGACCCTGGGTGGAAGAGGGGGGGTAGCGATGAGTGATGGTTGTTACTTTTTAGGTATTGAAAACATTACCAAATATTAAAGAATGGCAAATCCTACACTAGTGGAAAACTCTGTTAACAGGCTTGAGCAAATGTCCTTATCATGCCAACCAGTATAAATCACTGGTTCTTCAATCCTCTTACAAAACGAAAACAAAACATGCCAAACACTCAAAAATAGATCATGTTCATTTTGTCAGCCACAACAATATGATGTACCAAATTGGCTGGAGCAATGTTCATCATACAAGAATCATGCCAAGGTTTGTATTGATCGAGTGGTAGCATTGCAGTCAGGCCATGTAAAAAAATGCCAGGATAATCTGCCATGAGCCACCAAAGCATATGCTAATAGCAAGGGCAAACTACAATTAGCAGCATTAGGCGATCACAGGATGCACTATTTTTAGTCTTGCCTGATTCCCAGCATTTTCACAGCTAGCTCCCATGTGACAATTGCAGCAGCATTAGCAGGAAAGGCCCTCACTACCGTAGGACCTAAACCCATATAGCATCCACTAAGTCCAGACCCCCTGTAAATCTAGCATAAAGAACCCAATTAGCCTAACATGCCTTTTTAAAAATTTTGTTCCAAAGTCTGCCAGTATATAACATAAAAACAGCTTACTGATTTCAGAATCTGAAAGGGATTTCTGGTCGAACTTCTATCCGAGGAAGTCTGAATTATGGTTTTTGCCACATCCAAGGGCAGAACAGCAGACCAGAACTAGAAACAATACAGTGGAGAAAAGGAGGGATTTAATAACAGACCACAGAGAAAATGAAAAACAAAACAGAAATAAAAATATGCACAAACACATCCTCGTGCATGCAAACAAACATATAAAAGTTGTAGTTAGAAAGAGATAAAGTGGAAACGGGTAAATTAAAACAGGTGAAATGTGGTGAGTTGTACTCACTGCTATACCACCAAGGCCACCACTCATGATCCCAACTCCCACATCAATCAAGTGAGCAGGATCTGATGAAGCATCATTCAGATGTAAATGCATGCGAAAGCGTACATACTCATAAGTGCTAAAAAAGACTGCATTTCCAAGAGATTCCCTCAACAATGTTGTGAAACCTCCTCGAAAGATGCCTGTAACCTGAAAAAGTAGTCTATCAGTTTGAGACTTATCAGGTACCTTACTGACAATGAGCACAAATTCTCACCCCTTCACTCTTTACAGTTTTTAGCGCACAATCAATAGGACTACTGTATCTGTTGGAGTTCACAACCAAAGTGTCAGTGCCTTGAACTTGCATCCTACACTGGAAAAACTCAGGGTCACAAGCATGATATGTTAAACAACAAAGGCAGTGCATGACTAGAAACTCTCTGATTGAGCAGTACCTTCACCAGCTCTGATGGACATAATACAAAGCTGATAATAGCTCCACCAAAGGCAGCTGAAGGAATTATCACTTGGGGCTGTGGCTTACCACTTTGATATTGTCCCTTAAAGAGAAAAAGAATATGTTTATCATGAAGTGCACACCGCATGCATGAAACATTTGTTGAAACAAATGTGCAGAAGCAAAAGCAGCTCATTTGCAACTGCTTCTTGCCTCTGTTGAAGGCAGTTCTTGCAGATCGATCTACAGTTAAATCACGAAGCAGTTTTCACTAGTAGACAAACCTGCAGTGATTGTTTTGCCTGAGAATAGATGCCAAAAAGAAGTGAACTTTCAAAGGCCATCCCTACAAAAGAAGATGTAGCCCCTCGATAAAGCCCTTTCACCTGAAAAGAGGGATGAAAAAGAAATTAAAAAATGAATGGTAAAGTCCCCCCCAAGAAGGAAAAAAAGCAGAAAACAAATGAAGGGCCAAAGACAAACAACATTTTCAATAGAGAAACCATATTGCACTAATTATATCATTGAGAACTTGAGTTTCATGCATTCTTACAGGCATAAATGGCTTTCATAGCTTAGTGAATCCTTAAGAGCTATGACCCAAATCTTTGCTTTCAGGGTCTTCATATCTCCCCAATTGAAATATAGATTGTACAGCATAGTTACAACCAACTTATGGTTATTGTTACCCTCTTTCTTTACAAAAACCTGGATCCATGCCCCTTTTCTTGACAACAAACTGCAGAAATTTCCTTTTTTCTTTTCTTGGTGATTTCAGATGGGACATGTATAGCAGGAAATAAGTCCAAAGATGCTATTCTTCTAGCAAAAGGATCTCAAAGTAACTTCCTTCGCATTTTTTACCATATAAGGGGAGTTTTTAGCAGACTTTTAAAATTTCTTGGTGAAGAATAGAACTCAAATCCATAATAGTGGCCTGAACTCCGAAGTTTCCAAAAGAAACAATTCATGGTTTTCAGAGAGAGATGAATTGAGAAGCAAGAGAAACAACGTTGGATGCCCCTGGTTAAAAACATGAGGCTGGTTTCCCCAAGAAAAAATCATCAGTAGGCTCAAGTAAATTCTATGATTGGTATCCAATGTATAACGATGAAGTATTAACTAAGCTTACCTTCATTCATGGCATCAAACATATAACGATGAAGTAATAACTAAGCTTACCTTCATTCATATTCGAACCTTAGAAATATCTGTTAAGACTTCAAAGTCATACACGATAGGCGAACAACTATAGGAGAGAGATTGACAATAACTGATAGCAAAAGTATAGAGCATTTTCTACCTATATTTGGGGTTGGTTGTCTGCCATAGTTATAAGCAGTAGTGTAGGCATGACATCGAAAGAGATGGGAGGGAGTAGGGGTCTAATACTTACTATTGGCGAATACATTCATGATGTGTATGCATATGTCTGTATACAAAGACAGACACGGGGAGAGAGAGAGATTATCTTGGGCTGATTTGCTACAGCCATGTAAAAGTTCTCGTTCCTAGGTTATTTGATTCAATGTAACAAAATATCAAATATGTAAGGCTGTCAAGAAATAAACTGTTCGTCCATATGGAGAAAGATTGGCCTACCATGTTCCCTGTGTTTTCAAGAATATATATGGCTATTGCAAATGAGAAGACAAAGAATTTTCAGCGGCAGAGATACTATTCATATGCATCAAGGAGAATAATTTGAGTTCATTAGTTTGTTTTGTTTGCTGTGATTCTACATATGCATGCATTCTAAAACGTTAATGGCTTAAAGTTGGGCCTCACAAGAAGTTCAAGAAGCATACTCCTTCAGTCTTCAGTATCCTAGCAGTACAATGCAAACCACCCCTGTACTTTATCCCATTAGCTTCTGTATTGTGTTTTTGAAGTTTCACCTGATGAATGAGGATACCAATATGTAAGAACCCCAAAGAATACAGACACCAAATAATCTGACTAGTTTTAGCAATTTTTCTGACTATAGAAAGGAAACTATTGAATTTTTAAAGGTCCAAAATTCATTTCCCAATATCAGAATGCACAGCAGATAAACCTTTTAAAAAGAAAAGAATAAAATATATTTTAAAGAACAAGCACAATAATAACTGAATAAAATCATAGCCTGGTTGGCTGATCCACAATACAGTTTGAATCAAACATGTGTTAATGATCAAAATTAACATCAAAATACCACCACATTGCAAGTGATCATCAGAAGACATGCTAGTATATGAAAAATTCAGGTGTCAAGTTTGATAACTTCTAGTCACTAAAATAAGATGCGTAACAGAAACTCCACGTTCTTATGAAACATGAGAGCCATTAGTCCAGAAGGTCTTATCAAAAACAAATGCCAGCTGTATTATATATATTAAACTGTTCGACTGTCTACAAGTTGTTGCATAAGAGCCATTACCTTGGCTAGGAATAGCAAATGTAGAAACATCTCCCCAGTTCCAAACACCATTCACAATTCTTCTATGTTATTTTCTTGAAAGTAGTTCTAACCCTTTTTGATGGGTAATTCTGCACCGATTTGATCATTTCCCTCCCCCCTCCCCAAAAAAAAACCAAATTAATCATCATTTAGGCTCAACCCTCAGCTTCAATCAAATAATATAATGATTCTAGCACTTATCCATGGTGAATGTGCCAATGGTAAATGCGATGGTAAGGGTGACAATGGAAATGGGCTCCAAAGCAGGAAATCCTATGCTTTTGGAAGTGCTGGTAATCAATGAAGAAGGAGCCAAGGTTAAGAACATGCACCATGCACACTTCTATTTTTTAGGATGTCACACCTTCCTGTTTTACACTGCAGAAAAAAATCTAAAATCATTTTGAATTACATTATAAGGGATCAAAGTTCGTTTCTCTTTCGTGTTGCTAGGAATGACAATCATCAGTGAGTCGTTAGTATCAAGCAAAAGTACAATTTAACAACAATACAAATATACTATTAAAGACCATTGCTTGGTTAAATGGTAAAAGCTTGGGCCAACAAGTACAGAAAACACAGTTACAAAGTTGCAGGGCAGACAATTCGCAAAAATAAATGTCTGAAGTAGTTCCATACAAAAGTAACTTCAAGGTATTGTCTTTTTACAAATTCACTATTTACATTATGCCATTTGATTTGATTAATTTGTAAGACAATTTATATCCTAGTTGCCCAAGTTCCTACAAACTTTCAGTTTAGCTTCCTGACACTTTGTCGTGATGCCTTCCCAGATCTTTCCAAGTCACTTCCAACTTCCCAGGTTGAACTCTCGCAATTTACTTAAGCTTCGACCCTATGCTTCTCTCACTACTTGTCCATATACCCAACAATTTCTTTTTGGCTTGCACACCAACCAAGCTGATTTTCCCAGATATATAACAATTTTTGGCAATTACAACATGGTCAAGATCACCCAATTTTGAATCGGCAAAAAGATTACTCCAAGTCCCACCATTTACTCTATCACATGGAAAAACTAACTTGAATCTAATTTTTCAAACCCAGGTCAGATGTACTCTATTAGGCAAATAGGCAAATGGGAAATGTGCGTATGTGAAAGGAAAATCAAAGGCAAGAAACGGATGAGAAAAAGGGCAGACCTTGACAGTATCGAATGGATGACCAGTTATGACAGTGGCAACACCGGCAAGCAAGCCTGCCACATAGTCCTTGTAACCCGAACTGTCACCACCCATCTCTCTCTTTCTCCCTGTACAATTCTATGTTGCTCTCTAAACTTCTCTCCTGTACTTCTCGGTGATTACCATAGTGTCTTTATCAATCCCCACTTCAATCCCAAGTTTGGTATTGATGGGCATTAGTACAGTCCAAGATTTGGGGATGACAACAAGAACATATCCTCGATAGTGCCCTTTGAAACGGGGGTAACGATGCAGAGACTAGTGCTCCATAAAAACGCCGAAACGAATCACTATTTTATTGACAGAAAGCTTGATCATAACGAAGTGGGTCTCAAAGATAGAAGAGAAAACAATGAAAGCCCCCGCTACCCTTCCGCTCCTCAAAATATTCTTTTCATCTTCTACATGTTGACGGTGTCGAAATGTCTGATCTCTCCCCCTGCCCCTCCCAGCTATCAATTTAGATTATGTTAGTCAGGGTAAAATATTTTATTTATATTTAATTTATTTATTAATTCATGTTTAAAAATTACCAATAATCGATTTTAATTAATCCTAGATAAGTTAGATGTAAAATAAATTTAATTTATTTTTAAACCGTTTAATAAACAGGTACGTTGAATCTCATTAATCTATAAAATAATTAAAATTTTTAATATGGATACATATTAATATATTAAAAATATACATACTAATACATCAAAAATATATACACATATATTAACATACACAAACACATTTATTTTATTACATGTGTCATGGACCGTGGGTCATGAGTCGTTGTGATTTGTGGGTCAGACATGGATCATGGGTCGAGTGTATTAATGAATGTGCAATTTTGATGTATTAGTGTTTGTGTGTTTTGATGCATTAGTGTATGCGTGTGTATTATTTGGTATATGAGTATGTGTGTACTTTTTTGTGTATAAATATGTATATTTTTTGGTATATTAATATATTTATTTGATTTTATTAATTATATTATTTAATAGAAAAATAAATACTCAACTTAATGGATACCTATTTATAATTCATCTTAACATGTTTTATTAAAATGAATCATATTATCTAACCTATTTTTTTTATGAGCAGACTGAATGAATTAATGGGCAATAAGTTAAGATTGTCACCTCTATTCATGTCTAACGATTGTATTATATTAAATTTGTGTCGTACATAAATCGTATATAACCAATATATAAACAAATAGTGCCATACATTTTTTTTGAATAACTTTACACATACTCAGTTCGTTTATTAATTATCCCGTATGAGGTCCACACATTTACCAAACAGATGACTTAAGGAAAACTCAAACCCTCTAATTTTGTGTCGTATTTAACAAATCGTGTTATATTTTAACATTTCTGCTTTAGATGTAATTGTCATGTATAATCCCTTCAAATTGTGTTGTGTATAAATGACACTGGGTTTTGAAGAAGAAAAAGGTTCCAATGAATGCGAGAGGAAAAGATCACATTATGACCATGCCAGCTAAAAATCACTAACATCTCGTGAATTAAATTTGAACTAATATCAAGTTACTTGCCCTTTTAGTTGATCTTGACTGACTCTATTGTCCTCCTCATGAAAGCTAGTGTTTTGCTGTCTTGTGTCAGTTTAATTTGGTTTGTGTCTGAGTGTCGACTCATGTATTTATCGATATTAGTCAATCAATTAATTTATCATTCAAATTCATTAAAATTAAATTTAAATTCACCAATTTCTTGTTAATTGTGTTAGAGATTTGAGGGTTGTGTCCATAATGTGTGAGATGTCCATAATGCGTGAGATGTTTATAATGCATGAGATTTGGGGTAGAATTGTGAGGAGAGATATTTAAAATATCGTGCATTACACATGTGCCGCTAATAACTATTATTTAATTAATTGTAACTTATAATTTGTTATTCAAAAAATACGAGAAAAATACTGCAAAAATGCATAAAGAAGGAGAGCTAATTATAGACCCCTTAAATTATAGGGGAATGATAGTCGTCTATCTATTTTGTAATTTTTGATTAATTAATTTGGCACAAACACAACCAATCTATTAAACAAAAATAAGACGGCGGACCACGTTATAATATTTTTTATTTTTTGAGAGATAATATGAAAAAAATTAATATTTTGGGGCAAACTGAAAATTTTTATATTTTTCACTGGCAAAATAGAATTTACCCTAAATTATAGTATCCCCTATTTTACATTAGACTCTATATTATCAAATTTCTCATTTTATACACTGAAGTATTGATTTCACTTTCATATTGTGCCGATGGTTGACTTTTATACAAAATTTCATTATAAATTAGAACAAAAATAAAATTCCTCTCAACCGAGTACGGAGTGATCATATCTCCTAAATGGTGAGATCCAATTTTGTTCCATTGTGAAAATTTTTAGAGAATAATCATGGGGGCGATGTGAAACTTAAATTAATAGTTTAAGGTACAATGTCAGAAAACAGATAGTTTTTAGATATTAAATTGAAATATTTACCTAGTTAAGGGGTCGTAAGTGTAATTTTCCCCATTCTTTATTCCGTCAAGGCCCCGAGCCACATCAAAGCCACCCTCTGCCCTTCTCGCCAGACTCAACCACCTGCACCTCCACCGCCCTTTCTCTCTCCATTCCGCCACCGCTACCGGAAACAGAGTCAATGCCTGCGCAGAGGCGTTCGTTCGAGCCTCCTACTCCTCCTCCCCCACCCTTTCCGACTCCGGAGGAGAAGGTTGATTCGCTGCAACGCAATCAAAACCACAATGAACAAGCCGAGGATGGAGACGGTTCGTATACATCGTGCTCCATAGCTTCGATCACACACACACACACACACTTTCCAATGATACTGCAACTTCCACAGTTTTGTTCAACCTTTCATATGAGGTTTGATTTAATCTTTTAATCTTCCATAACTCTCAGATTCAGATGGAAGCCATGTGTCTAGTGGCGGAGACAAAGATGAGTACGTTGTCTATCTTTCTCCAAACACATACGCACGCGCGCCCGCGCGCACACACACACATATTCTTCTGTGGCAATTTATTATGGTGATTGTTGATTTAAGTACTGTTTGAGGTGTGAATGAACCAGTTTCTTCTGGGATCTGCATGCTTTGTTTGGGTATACGATTGCTTTTTTCGTATTTATTAGAAGCAATGTTGAAGAGAGCTCTTTACGTGTTGACGGAGTATCTGTGTGTTTACAGGAATTTTCTGTTTCGTTCTCTGTATATGGCAAAATTCAATAAAAAGGTTTAATTTTCATGATTGCTTTGGCATTCACATTAATTTTTCATTGAATATTGATCTCTGTATTCTTGGTTGGATTTGGACATGTGGCTTAAGTTCACAAGGAGTGCTTAGGAATTCTTACTTGCAGCACTGCTAGGTAACTAGGTTCATGGGTTTTGTTTTAGTTTCCAGTTAATCACTTCTTTCCACTGTTAGGTTTTGTTTTAGATTTCTATATGCCACGCAACCTTCCCAGATTTTGGTGCTAAGTTGGGTCGACCTGAATGCCTACTGCAGTGGACTAGAGATGTAGAATTGTAGTAACTAATGCAAACTGAATTCATTCACTAAAAAGGGCTTGCTGAACTATATTCATTCATAACTTGCTACTTATGTTCTAGAATGTATTGTTGTAATGATACTTTCGAGTTGTTCAGTTACAAGTGTCTCTGATGAATTTATGCCGTGGTGCTAGAGTTTAACTCGCACAGAGGCTAACTTCGAGGAAGCGGTTAGTGGTTTCTTAAATCAACAATTTTTGTCAATTGGAAATAATAATTTTGGTAATAAAGTGTTCTTAAAATAACTATTATTATGACCCACTGTCATACATATGCCATTTATGCATTGTGTTCATGATTGCAGATAATATCTTCATTTGTATGTGTGTTTTTTACCATTTTAAAAACACGATGCAGGATGCTAGTGATTTCAGATGCATGTAATACAAATCTTCCAAGGTGTGTGAGTGCACACTTTTGCATCCGTATTCAGCATAATTTCACCATCTGGTTGACTACATGATCTGGATGAATGTATCCATCTCCAATTTCAGTTGTCTATTTTTTATTGTTGTGATAAGCTTTCACCAGCTTCTACTATTAATTGAAGCAATTGCATTTCTTTAATTTACACGTCAGGAGAAATCAACAACTCTGTGAAAGATGTGTCATTATATGGTTTTCTTTTTGTATTTATCTAAGTGCTTAAAAAGTTTGCATAGTTGTCCTCATTTGAAGTATGATGTATCATCTGGTACTATCCAGACATAGTGTTTTGTGAAACACGAATGTGAGGGGCAAGTTAATTTACCAAATTTGAAAATGCTTTGAACACTAAGGAGCCGAGTTCGTTTCAACTTAAAATTTAAATTATATGGTTTGGCCACTTTCTGTATATGCAGATTTTATATGAATGTCATTGCATGAAACTGAATATAACCAACAAACTAAGTTTCCTAAATCCAAAAGTCATTATGGTTGGTGATGTTCTTCAGAAAGTGATGGATATCTTAAGAGACTTTTGGACGTTAGTTGTCCTTAATGTGCTAGAAGTTTATATATGGTATACTGGGTGTCTGGGTTAAATGAGATTTCTTTGCTTAGAGTCTTTGTCCAAGGCAAGCTTTGGGATTCACTGAAACTGGGTTTAATTTTTTTTTTTCCTTTTTTCACTGGAAGTATCTTTCTTTTTCCTTTTTATACACAAAAATCCCTATAGTCGGTCAGTAAATGTATTCCAAATCAGAATATCCCTTCATTGTGTTTTTCTGACAAAGGGTTCAGGGCTCCTAATGGTCTTTGGTGGGGCTTCTGTGTTCAGTTCTTAACGATTGTGCTGAAGTTATATTATAATCCAAATATTATACCATGGCAGTAAATACATCTGTTAGAATTGGTGGGATATGATATTGAGGTAGTGGTTATTTCTTTCCTTTGTCATGGATTTTCTTTCTTTTTTGGGGGAGGACGGTGGGGGTCTGGTACAGGGAGTGTATGCCTGTCTGTAAGACTTACTGAGTCACTTTAAGGTTTGCTTCTCCTCCTGCATTATGGAGCATGAGCATATCTTTTCATCAGATGGCCCATCTTTTTTTCCTTATGTAGGTGTCACTCTCTCCCTCCCTCTCCCTCTCCCCTTATATAAAATTGAAGCTTCTCAATTGTCAACCTATCTTCCATTTGAAGTTTGCCTGGAGAGCTAATTTTGTTTGCAGTGGTGTTTGTCAACAGATTTATTCTTGTGAAATTGGCAGAAATACGCAAGGAAGTACAATGCCCAATCTGTCTAGGTACTTTTTTGGGATTTTATTTCTTCAAGCTATGATTTTTGGATCCAAATTGACACTTCATAGCAAGTGACTCTGATTTTTGCCACTCATTGTATGTTTTATGAGCTGTAATTCATGATAGGGACACCAATTGATGTTCTATTACTTGTAAGCTTATTGTTTAGCTCAAATAATGCTCCAGTTTGGCGTATCTTTCCATATGTGAGACATGTTCCTGAGTTACAAGTTGTTCTCGATCATTTTTTGGCTATGGAGTCTTTAACAAAACAATTGCAGAAAAAGTGATCATTTTAAACTCAATTTCTGAAAATAGTCTTTGAGAAACTATCTGAAAACTCCATACAATGAATCAGATTTTCAACCTTATTCTGTAGTTTCTGATACTCCAACAAAGGAAAACCCTTTTTAATAACTTCGATTTGGAAAACCCTTATTCTCTATTTTGTTACAACTCCTTTCAAGCCTGGACATGTATATGTTGCATTTGGTTTTTGTCCTGAAGACCTGCGGGTCTACCCGAGTGGCTAACTACCCATCATGGTTTCTAATGCCCTCCCTGGCACCCTTCCCGTACCATTGCATATCAAAAAAAGTTTTTTCTGAGATATGTGGAAGCAGTTTGCGAATAGCTCTGATGGCACCTCCTGATATGGAGATCTCAGTGTCATTGTTCTCCCCCACTTCTCTCTCTCTCTGGGGTTCATCTGAAACTTCTTTGATAATGACAGGCTTCAAGTTTCATATACATCAGCACATATTATAAGAGTTGTATAATATACACCTCATTCTAGCTAATGAATCTTATTCCCAGGCCATAGTTCATCAGACAACGTATTAACTAAATTGGTTGATGACTGAAAGAACAACATTTCCCGCCCATGTTATCCCCTTTCAAATTAACTCAATAACAGTCCTAAGCCTTTTAGATTTCCTTATTATCTTTTGAGATCTTTACTAGCAAGCTGTGCATTTTCTCCTGGTGTTTCTAATGAAATTTGCTTATTCTTATTATGTATCATCCTAAGCTAGCTAATATATCATTACTGACCTAAAATTTTCAAATTTAATTGACATGTTTTTATTAAGTTGTGTCTTTCATACAGCTTCCTCTTCATGTTCATGTAGAACAAGCTGGCGCAATTTAGCACCCTTTTTTAGTAGTAGTTTGCTTATGTTGTATTTGGTATCATAAAGTTATATTTCTTTGCTCTTATCTTCAAATTATGATCAAGATGGTGGATCCACTAAATGGTCTTTACCCTATTTGCATTGCATGTGCATAAACAGAATGTGCTCGTGTACATTTAGGTTGTAGTCACACCCAAACACACACTACTTGTTTCTCACAGCTTCTCCATAACATTCCAACCATAACAATAACTACGTGGGAGAGGGAAAATGCAGGTAGAAATCTCCTTGCTTTGTAAGTTCAGGTGTTTGTGTTGGGTTAAAGTTGAGTACATGTCATTTATCGTTTAGAGATATTGGAAAGTGAAAAAGAAGAAAAAGACTTGGTTAAAACACCACATATATGCTTATTAGGTTCTTGACTATAAATAAGGATGAGGTCTATGCTATCTAGAAGTAACATCATTTACGACTTTGTATATCAGGGATTATTCGGAAGACAAGAACAGTTATGGAATGCCTGCATCGCTTTTGCAGAGAATGCATTGACAAATCTATGCGTATGGGGTACTGTATTATGCACCTTTTTATTCATTGACTAGTGCAGTGATGCTATTACTTTTTCGTGTTATTAGACTTGATCTGGAACATTCAATGCAGGAATAATGAGTGTCCTGCTTGTCGAACACATTGTGCTAGTCGCCGATCTTTGCGAGATGATCCAAACTATGATGCCCTCATTTCAGCTTTATATCCAGATATAGATGAATATGAGGAGGAGGTATAGATTGATGATGCCTTCAGCTCCCACTGAAAATGATTATCGTAACTGGTGTTGCATGTCAAGAATTTGCCTTATACTTCATTGCAGGAACTGGCTTTCCATGAAGAAGACAAAGCTCGCAATAACCAGGTGAGATGTTTTCAAGTTTCAGTGGTGGCCTTCTGTTACCAGATATACGTGGTTGTGGTTATATGCAGTTTTCCATTTATCTTTGCTGGTTGCCAGAGTTGGCATCTGCAGTGCGTGATAGCAGTTAATTGAGGGATTCACTGAAAGGGCAAAACATGTGAATTATGAAGATTTTCTGGCCTTTCTTTGCTGAAACAGATGCAGGACCCTTTTGTGGTAAAATCAACAGCTGTGGGGAATGAATGCGTTGGGCTTCTTTTCTTGTTTGTATTTGGGATATAGATTAAATTATAAGAGTTGGTATCTTTTGAAATGCTTTTAGAGATGATTGCAGGGACAGTAAATGTAGGTCATTCAACTGGTCGTAGCCCAATCTTTTGTTTACTCTTCCTGTATACATTAATATTTCAATTTTGTGTTGCTCCCACACTTATTTTTTTCATTCGTTGAACAGATCCAAGCTTCAATTGCACAGACTTTACGACGGCAAACAGAAGCACTGGGAAGGAAACGAACAGCTAGAGCCACAGCTTCTGCATTTGCGCGATCATCACAGGGCAATTATCGTAATTTGAGGGGAAGGAGAAACCGTCGAGCTGCTGAACACCAAGGATCTGATGATGAGGAGGATACTAATGGCCATGATGGAATCAAGGATTCGTCTTCTGCTGATGAGCGTGCTGAAGTCACACCAAAAAGATACAAAAGATGGGGAGGAGCTCGGTTTTCTCAGCCTTCTTCTGGAGCAGCCAGTGCAGATGGGGGTTGTGATGATAATGATGCTGAAATTAAAAGAGAACCAGTGGGTGTGTCCGCTGGTCTTGTTGGCAACTCGGAAATGCTTGCCTGGGGTAAAGGTGGCATGCGGAGTCACACCCGGCATGGCAGTCTGAGTGGTGGCAATGGCAAGCATGGTAGGAACAGCCGCCTCTCCAAGCTGATGGATAGTCTCCGAAATTCGGAGGAAAACAATGATGGGGTAATAATTAAAAGCATCTTTTGGTTGGTGAGCTCACGGACTCGTATTAATAACAAATTGATGATCTCATATTTATTAGCATATTTGGTTGCAAACTGGAATATTAAGAAGGTAATCCAAAATATCTCTTAATAAACACAACACTGCCAAACAAAATATATTTCCTTATGTGTGATATTGAGTCCGTGAGATCATATAATTCAGATTGTTTACTTCTTTGGCATCCTACCCGGAGTGTGCTTACATGCTTCTCATTACTTCAGTTGGATATCCACCTCATGCTTGTTTCTTTGGACGAACAAAGAATACCCAATTTGCAGCGGCCCCACCTTTGCTGCAGGCCCTCTTTTGCAGTTAGACACATATGCCAAGTGAAATCTACCTCCACCCTGACCCTTAATTTTCATTTGATGATACTACATGTTAAATGAGAAGCGTTTGTTGACACATAGCTGAAATTGGTCTTCAATTGTACGTTTCCGTGCAGTATGTTGCTGTCCAGACTTCCGTTGCAGCTGATGAAGTTGAAATGTTGTTGGTAAAAGAGTCCCACTCCAAACTCAACCCCTCAACCTGCTCGAGTTTTTTGATCTCCAAGCCCAGTATTATAGATCTGTGCAAAGATGAGTTGCATGCATTGAAAGAGCATGAAACATTGGTGGAACTTCAAACTATGTTCAATTTTAGTCAGCAGCATCTGGTAAGCTCTCTTTGAAATGTAACTTTTACATTCACACAGGAACACGCGCACACACACACACACACACACAAACGCATTTAGGTTGAAGTTTAAATAATTACCTAATCATGAATGCACATTCAATCACCCATATGATGTAGCTTGACATAATTATGTACTATTTCTGTTTTTTTTTTTAAATACCCGATCTGTGAATTTTTATTCATAATTATTTTGTTGCTTTTTTCAGCTTCTGGCATACAGGCAAAAGTTGTCGGGATTAGGAAACTCATGATGAATTGACGAAGAACAAGTGGTTACATCCTTTTCGTAGTGTATAAAAATATGGTTATAAAAGGAAATCAGCAATATCTATAAATTCTGATAGAACTCTATGTATACATGTTCCTTTTTAAATTTAGAGTTTCTAGGAAGTTGTAGGAGTAAACAAAAAAACAGTAAGATGGTTTTAGGATGTAGAAAAAGCTGCTTGCTTCGACCTTGATACTTGAGTTTATTTTCTCATTCAATCTTGTAGTATGCATCTTGCTTTAATTATTTTCATTAATGTCTTAATGGATATTTGTGCTCTTCTCATTACCCTTCGCTACACTCACTAAAGCCTTTCTCAAGACATTTGAGTCATTTTTTCGTTTTAGGAACATAAAGTTGTTGCCTTAGCTGAACAATGTATTAAGTATTCAGAGGAGGCTTAGATTGAATGTTCATGTTCATTTATGACCAAAAAACTTGCTGGATTTGAGATCTACATTGCAGGTGAAAAGAGTTGAATATCTCTCCACAAAGCTCATTTTCTGTCTGGGAGCTGGTGTGCATTTGTATGTGTGCATCCATGATCCACCCCAAAGGGGATTGGAAGCGATCTGATGGTCCCGTTGTCATGATGGTATTCTACAGCAGGCCGACCTCGAATCTCTGATACTGTAGGGAACAGCTCCCAAGAGGGCACTATGGGATGCATGTGTTTGATACATAACCGGAGTTTGTGGAACGCATGTGCAGCAGCTAAGATCAACTTCTTGAGAAACATATCGTTTCAAAGCCAGGTATCTCTTTTTTTTTCTTCTGTTTTTTCATTGGTAAGGCAGGCTATTGCATTGAGGCTGTGAGAAGTTGATGGAAAATTGTGGTTTGCGTTGACAATGTGAAAAATATAGCAGTGTTATTATAATAGGCCTAGTGCAATTGTAGGTGCTCATTCATTCGACCGATATGTTGTAAGTTAACGTTCAAGAATCAATCTCTCCTAGGTGGGATGAGACAATCACTTATCATTTACATATCTTAGATTCAATTATAGATGGGAGTCTTACACACGGTGCATATTGAAGATGTGGGAAAATTACTGCATGAAATAGTTCTCTAGTTTTTTTTTTTTGTTACAAAGTGTTCAGATTTATACCGGCTACTTTTTTAAACTCAGCAGTTGTTACTGTAGCTGGAGCTAGGTTAGAACATATCTTTGAGAAATAAGGGTGTTGACTCTAAAAGGGTGAGAAAAAGGATCGAATCTGAGCAAATGTTAGACTCAACCATTGAACCATTATAAGGATTCCTCTAATTTATATTTGTTAGGTTCCTAGTATTAGAGCAGTAGATCGGTTAGGACATTCGGCTTGATATTCCAGTTAAAAGGAAAGCAGCATAAACGAATCTATGTTCCTAGGAATTGATACCTCGGTTGGGACAACTAGTTATTCCCCTATGTAGAAGTAAAAAAGCATAGTAATATACTTGGGGCTAGGCATGTTACTCAAGTCTAGCTTTTGGATCTTTGATTTGCCCGGGTTTGGTTTGACCCGTTCTTATATTATATGCTTGAATTTGCTTTTAAACTCGAGTAGCTCTATAAAAAACACTTGAACGATGAATCTTGAATTGTGTTTTTTTTGGTTGTATTCTTTTATTCATGAATCGAGTATGAGTTGAGCATTATATTGCTCGAACTCAGATTATAATATTAAACGACTTTAATAATTTAACCATTTCTTTTTTAATACAAACTAACTTAAACGGGTTGAGCCCAAGTTCAAACTTGAATGGCTCGGTTTGATTAATAGTGCTACTTGTAATTTGGTTTAATCACCCAAACTATATCGGAAAGTATAGTCAGCTTTTTAAATTGGTGTTAATTATACTTTGTTCTTTCAGAGTATCGACTTACATTATTTTGCAATAATGTTAGACTTACTAAAATATAGAACGAAAAACAGGGATCAAATGACCCTTCAATTGTATTAATTTGTTTCATACTACTTCATGTCACATTTTTTTCTTCTAAAAAAGAAACAACCTTCGAGTTTAAAGCAATGTTGAATCAACTATAGTTCGAAGTGTAATGTGAATCTTAGCAATTCTTTGAGGTCTTGTTATGAGAGATTTAGGGCTTGTTTGATTTGTGTTTTAAAAAATAATATTTGAAAATAGTTTTTAATAAGAGTTTTAAAAAAATAGTTTTAATATTTTTTGAAATAAAAAATTTGTTTGGTTAGATAATTTCAAAAATAATTTTATAATACAGAAAATAGTAAAACTTGTTTAGACAGTCTAAATATATATATTTAAACAGTAATTCAAACATTAATAAAAAAATATAAAATTGTTCTTCTTGTTTTTAAAATTTTTAAAAAAAATTCTGAAAACAAGCTACACTTATTTTTTGTTTCTTTAACTCAAATTTTATTTTTTTTTTTCAAAATTTTGAGAAAAAAAATGTTAAATAAACATATTTTGGGTGTTTTTAAAATTTTGAAAACAAAAAACTGTTTTGCAGAAACTAATTAAACACGTCCTTATTCTTCATGAATATTCTAGTTTCAACGTGAATGATTTGTTTTTGATTGGATTAGAAAGGGGATAAATTAAGGTATGCATAAGTTGGTCTGAACATCTGTGATCATTGAACTAAAAAAAGTGTAATGTGAAGAAAATTGTGGTAGGGCGTAAAGTAAAATTAAAATAAAAAATATAAGAAACTATAATTTTATAAAAAAAAAATCTAAAAAAGGCCAACCTAGATAATTGGAGAGTATTAATCACAATAAAAAATTCACATGTGGCGCCATACACAACTTCCTAATAATTAATGCACTAAGATAACCATGAACTTGCCAAATGACAAAAATACCTATAATATACCAACAAAATTACATTCACATTCCACTTATTTAACAGCAATATAATAACACAGCTCATCACTACCGTTCACTTCAGATCAAGCGACACACATCAACCCTCACAGTGTTCAACATTTTATAAGTTACAACTCGCAAGCTTCACTCACCTAACCTCACACCAATTATTACGAAAATATGGACTCCAATTATATTCAATATATATTTTCTTCAAATTTTTTTTTTTTGGTGGATCATCCAGCATTGATGACTGAGGGGTCCATTCTTATAAAATGGGTCTCACTTACATGCACGGTTATTGATCTGCCAAAAAAAATTTGAAGAGAAAATATTGGAGGGATCTCAATCTAGAAAATATTTACACTATTACATTACCAGGACACGTGGTGGGTATTTAAAAGAGAAGACACTATTAACATGTAACCATTGGTAACCGAACACTTCAGCGATGCTTGCTCCTAGTCTCCCCACTGTAGAGCCTGTGATAACATAAAACACAACCCATGGTAAGAACCATGATATCGAACAAGAACAGAACAGCTCCCAGCCTTCCGATCAAGGATCTTGGTCAAAAGATCTCATTTATCAACAAGGTCAAGAGATCCAATGGCCGAAATCCAAAGATTCGGGTTTTTGTGTGTGTGCGCGCGCATAGTACTGATCTTTTGTCTTGATTGAGATACTGCCGTTCACTTCTTCTCAATTTCGCTCAAAACCACGAGTGAAACCCTTCTTATATCAATAAGTCACTCATCAATATATGATGAGTTATCTAAGAGGAGGGTTTTTTTAAAAAGAAAATTGTTCTAATCATATGTATTTCGGATTCATGATTGCATCACAAAATTTTGGAGGTACACAATCATTTATTATTCATGTGCATCGATTAAACTATGATTTTGAATGAAGACTAGAATTCAAGATGGACGGTTTGACCAGTCAACAATTAACGTAGTTTTTTAAACTGCAAGGGTAACTCAATAGTGTAAACTTCACTCTGACACGCGTCGCGTACCCTGACGTTTTGAGTTTACCTCTCACTGATATTTCCTTAATTTAATGCAGTTATAGTTTGTGAATAATTATGCATATTCGAGATTTACCGTCGGTGAGTTTCGAATGGTCGGGTAGAACGTTTACGTACCAGTCATAAACAGTGGGAGAGTTGGGTTTTGGCTTGTCAAAGACATCAGCACCAAGTCCCCTGGTGGCAAGGTTCCTACCGGGGTTGAAAACACTCCTCCAAACGTTGTCTTTACGCGCGGCTGTTGGCGACGGTGTAGTCGGTGTCCCGGGGCTCACCGGCATCGACAAGGATCTCTGGTACTGGCGTGTTCCTTCTCCTTCATCATATATACCACCACATATAAGCAATGAAATTGTATATGGTTAACCATATACTTAATTTTCCTGGATGTCAAAAACTACAAAATTGATATAAAATGATAGTCCGACATTCCCATCACCACAAAATGTAAGAAAGACAAATATTTATGCAGTCTCGAGATAAGAGACTTATCTTAGTGATTTAAATCCATAACATACAAATTAAAAACCTTATCGTTGTTTCAAAACTCAAACCCCGAATAACAACAGTTATATTGGACTTATCGACCCTGCCTCCATCCAAAAACCCACCACTTCCATCACTGCTTGTGTGACTATAGGGGTGTGTGTGTGTGTGAGAGAGAGAGAGTCTTAGAACCTTTGATGGTCAAGGGCCTGGTGGAGATCCTCCTCAGCTTATCGAGCCCGTGATCAGGTACAGGGCCGGCTGCAACATCGTCCCAAAGCTTGTCTAGCAGAACCATCTTGCCTTCTCTCTCTCTTTCTCCCTCTTCTCTTTCCTTACAACAAAGGAAGGTTGGGCCTAAAATATTCCATGTAATAGTAAAATCACGTTATTGGATTGGAAATTGTCCAAATCCAATGACTTTTATAATTGAAAATCACGCCCGAGTAAATCAGTTAAAGAGTAAGCTGTGGGTCGCTGAACAAAAAAGTATGACATTTATAATTGAAAATTGTCCTACTCTTTGGTGGAAAATGATGGGGCCCAGATTGATGGGCAATGGGTTTTGGTGATAAGACACTTTGGGACCCATAACTTTCATAATGCCTAATGGGGATCTGATACTTTGAGTATATGAGAAGCCTCACGATGATGTGGACTTGATTTACTAAAATGTGTAAAATATAGTTATATTTGGTCGAGCATGTGCTTTGTCTCACGTTGGTTCTCGATCTTTTAATTATGTTATTTTAGTCTTTAAAATTTTAATTTATGTAAAACAGAAAATTTAAGTTAACTAATGGACGTCTTCACGTATATCTCACGTGATCACGCTTATACCTTGTTTGATATGATGAAATTAAAAAAATTAAAAAAATAAATAAAATATTATTTTTGGCAAGAAAAGAAAATAGAAAGTTAATAATGTGTGTTAAAATATATATTATTTATTATTGTATCCTTTAATATATGCATATATCCTATTACATACACATTAATTTTATATATAAGTACAATAGTAAAACATGCATATATACTTTTTTATCATTCCTACTATCCATCCCTCGTATTAAACACAAAAGAGAGAAGAAATGATTTATCTCTTGAGAGATAAAAGTATATTACTCCAATTTTCTATCTTTCTATTTTATTGAACACACCATTTGGCTCATGAAGTTTACAATGTATATTATTTTGGTCCTTTACATTTTCAAATAATGTCCCTCAAGTGTGGTCATGTGAGATGCACATGACCATCTTTGTTGGTCAATTTAAATTCCCGTCTTTGATTGAACCAAAATAACATAAATTAGATATTTAAGAAACTAAATTGACACAATTAAAAGAATAAGGGCCAAACTAATACAAAACACATAGGTTGAAGACCAAAATATATTTTGCTCAAAGAAGTTTGATAGTGGGTGGCAAAATAATGGGGGCTATTGATCGTTGGTTGATTCAGTTCTAGTAATTAATCATGAAAATAATAAAGTAAAATAAAATAAACAAAAAAAAAAAAAAGATGCTGCCAAAAAGTATTTTTCAAATACAATACTTATATACTTTTTTGGCTGAGAAGAGTAGTTTATCTCTTAACGTAGATCCACTTGGTTAGCAACATCGTGACAATGACCAATTATGTTGTTTGCGATTATATTGTCACGACTGAACTAATGTGATGCACATGATCATGCTTCAAACGTTTGACATGCACCATGGACTTGGGACAATAAACAACTTTAAGTGTTTTTTTTTGGTTAGGAAAAAAAAAGATTGGGACAAAATAGAGCGCCCGAAGATCATCCCGATAGACTTTCACTGATGTAATCATAAAATTCTTGACCGCATCTGTTACATCTCTCAAAAACGAAACACTCAGTGAGGGGCGGTCAACCTAGGTGTTGCATGGAGACACGAATATGGTGTCATGGTCACGCCATCCTATCACATCTGATATGCTGCACACAGACGTCTAGGGTTCAATATGCTCCTATACCCCTAATACAACCCCAACTACTACCAATCTGTTTCACACTTCCAAATCTGGGCAAATATCAAAATAAATACCTGGATGTAGTCCTGAGAGGAGACTCGAACTCAGAATCTCTAACTTTATGGAATGGGTTTATGGCCAAGTTGTCTACTATCCATTGGGTTTAGAACTGACAATTCTTGACACAATCTGCCAAAAATACACAAAGTTAACAAGTTTAGGTTTAGTTTTAGCAGATTTTGATGATAAATGGGCAAACTTACAAGATCTATGAAATAAATGGATCAACACAAATCTATCTAAACACGACATGCACCCCACCAAATATCGCTTATACGTGTACACAACACCAATTCAATTATACATGATTAGAAATGAATCAATTATATGTTGAACAAATTTCAACACGATATGAATTATACGAATTGAAAATATGAAATGACATGATTCCATTGATAGTCCTATTTTGAGGTCATGGTAAACATATGATATCAATACCTCTGCCTGACCTTTGTCTTTATTTTTGGAGCTTTTCCTGTAATTTACAATTGAGTCTCTACTTTGTTAGTGAAGCTTCTCAAGTTCTTCTAGGACGGCCCAGCACATGATTGGGCCATAGCCATCAACCAAAGGAGAGGTCCATAGAGAAAGAAATGCATTCAGATTTTATATTATTATTCAAAAAATACATTGGAATTTACACCCAAACAAAATAAGTTGCTCACAATGCAATTGACTTGGGCATATAATTCCAAGTAAAACGTCCAATGCTACAACCAATAATCACTTGGAACCAACATGTTCATCATTTTTTTTTTGGTTAGACACTGTTACAGGGAGGGGGACGACGAGTTTGAACACGCGATTTTAAAGTCCAACAACGGGGTCGGTGACCATTAGGCCAACCACTAACCTTACCAACATGTTCATCCTCGTACATCTCAGCTGCTAAATATTGTTTTGAAGAAGATGCTAACAAGACCGAGTTCAAAAGCATAATGAAAAATTTGTTTTTCATAATCTCAGAATTTCAACTTAATCTTTACTCTCAGCACATTATTAAATTTCTTCCCCCGGACTGCCCGGCCGAGACAACAACAACAACCACAACAACAACATTACCTTTTTGGTTTGTGAATTCCAAAGTACACAAATAAAAAACTCCCAAATCTTGTATTTGTCAACCAGAAGAAATCAAAATCAAAGTTGGAGGTCAATTTCAAGTTCTAGGACTTATCGACCAAAAACGTTGTCCTAAAGAAGCTTATTTATTTTATTTTCTACAAAATTGATACAGAATCATTTTTGAACCAGATAAGGGTTAGAAGAATAAATCTACAGATGGAAGAACATGCAATTACCACAGCCAAAAAATAGAGGAAAAGCACCAAAACAAATGAAACAGAACAAGCAGGTGCATCCAAACACTACCATATTAGCAATGTATATATATAAGTTCAGTACTCTTACCAGATGAATTTGTCACAATCCATGGCGACCACAATGCCAAAAAAGATGTCCTTAGATGGCGCAGCAGATACCAATTCAGGTGACTCACTCTCCTTCACAAGCCTTGTATGTGTTCAAGACCAGTACTTGAAGTCTCTGTCAGGACATGTACTCCCACCACCGCTCAAGAATGCCACCCGAACTCGGAAGGAAGACATAGAATTCGAATTTGGTCATTCTCCAGCAGGCTCAATTGCCGAGAGTCTTGACAAGCATTCCGTGGCCGATGTATTGTTCTCCAATGGCCAGATTTTACCACAACAAATCCTCTTTCAAGTGAACCAATCTCAAGTGTTTGGGCATGCCAGTGCCAAAGGATTGTCGCCACCAACTCACTGCAGTAGCAGGAGAACAACAGGCAATGAGTCAGGCCTCAGCCTATCAGCAAAGAAACCAAACTCTGAAGTGAGAAACAAAGCAAACAAGAAGCAATCTTTTGGTCAGATGTCAAGCCATGTACTCCCACTACCTCCTATTAGACATGTCAGCCGAATTCAGAAAGAAGACCCAGAATGCGAGTTTGGTCATGGTCCACCAGGCTCACTTGCTGACAGTCTTAACAAGAATTCCAAGGCTGATGCAGTGTTCTCCGGTGGCCACCTCTTACAACAAGGGGTTCTCTTTCGATCAAATCAATCTCAGGTTTTTGGGCATATCAATTCCAAAAACTTGTTACCATCAGCTCACGGCACTAGCAGGAGAACAAGTGACAATGAGTTGGCCCTCAGTAGATCAGCTAAAAAACCAAACACTGAAATGAGAACAAAAGCAAATAAGGAAGGAGCCACAGGGAGCCAGTGGTTTGGTCAGAAAATTTTCCGGTCACTTACACATCCATGCAGAGACTGTCGTGCCATCCAGCCAACCCATTCGATGAAAGAACGCAAGTAGCCTTCAGCCAACCCCGTCGATGGAAGGACGCATGTAACAGAGAGGAAATATAATGTTTATGGCCTTCTCTTCTGGTAGCTGATAGAATGGAAAATCCAGAATAACCAGTAGTAAGGATACAGATGGAGTCTCGCCCAGCAAAGAGGTTACAATGACTCCAAACTTTGTATTCCTTCAATTAGATTTTTTAATACCGCAATTTGCCTAACTGCTCATCTCACCTACTGGAAGTGTGGACTGCACTAATCACGCCATTGACTTGAGCTTGAGTTTCCTTTGTAGTAATTCTATCGCTCACAAATAATAATTTGAGAAGTATATGATGGCTCGATTACTTGTTGGGCAATTCTGCATCTCCCTTCTTCTACTATTATGTCAGTCAGCTTGTTGTCGGTATGCATCATCAGAGGTCACAACTGCATATTGAGATGGTGCATCAGAGTTCAAAAATCAAACAGCAATACACCAAAGGAAATCATTGAATCTCATTAGATGTGGGAAATATGAAATTACAAAGCCTCACTGAACTTTTATACTCAACTTGAGCATGTGACTTATGTTGAGATTTATGGCTCATTTTCTTGCATTTTACGGATTGAGTGGAAATATTGAGATAAAAAACTACACAGGTCTAATTTGGTGCACATCACTCGTAAAATAACATAAATACCTTTAGATGTGACATCTCAGAGGGGGAGAAATTAAGAAGTAATGGCAACAGTCCAGTAGCATATAGATTTTTCCTAGATTATCACTCTTTAGCTGCCAAACATTTAAATCTAATCAATCCAAGTTCTCATCCTCCTTTCACTCTGTGCTGTGGTGAATGTTAAATTAATTTAATAGGACCTACCAAGAGGACTCGCAACAAATCATGCCAGCCATAAAAATTTACCCAATCTATAAATTTTCCAACGCCACTCATCAGCTGTCTGTCTACTTAAAGCTAAGAGCACAAGAAATCAATGAATAACAGCAGCACCCCTACAAATTGTATTCTCATCGAGATTTGTCAAACCCTTTTACCACCAACCATTAATGGAATTCGCTTAAAACACCCATCAAAATTGTGTTCTCCGCATCCTTCCACGTCACATGCTTTTGACTCAGATAAGAGAACATGGACAGTAGATCACAAATCTGACAGCGATAATGTGCCCCATTCCATTAAGAACAATGTTTGTTACCTTCCATGTGTCAAATAAAACTAAGCTCTAAGAACAAGGGACAACAGTTGCACTTCATCAGCCTCCGCTAATGGTCAGAAATTGCAATGGTGAGCTACAACAATAGTTAAAGAGACTAACATATCCTTTAGTAATCGATACCCATAAAAATATTTTGCATTATAAATGCTCGGCATTTGTGCATATCACCATTGCACCCCAATTGCATGTCACCACAAGAACCAAACCTATATATATTACACACGCAAATAATGAGATTAACCCTAAACTAATACAATGAGAAAAACACACAAAACAATTAGGTAAATTCAAAATGTTTGAGATAAACAAATGATACACGATAAAACATAGATAACTCAATAACATTATTCAAAATCAACCGATACACAAAGCTATAACATTCATAATTCTCGTTGGTTATATATATATAAACAGTCAAACCAAAACAGAAATTACCAATTTTCAGTGATTGATTAACACGCCCCGTTCCAATGAACTTCATTGATTGCTGATAAATCTTCACAACTCCATCATCATCGTCTTCTACTTCTACCTCCACTTCCTCTTCAATTTCTTCGTATTCTTCGTCGTCATCGACGTCAGGGTTGGCTTCGGAAGCTTTACCTTTACTGGCGGATTGGTGATGGCCATGGAGGTGATCGTCGGCCGGAGGAACGGCGGAGGAAGGCATTTATGTTAGCCAGTATTGAATTATGAGCTTGGTGTTCCTATTCACGCATCCCGTGCTCGTTGGACACCATTACAGGGCGGGGACGAGCGTAGCCTAATGACCATCATCCCGTCATTGAACTTTTGGATTTCGAATTTGAATCCCGTCTTCTCCTTTCTATATTAATCTCGTCGTTTCTTTCCTACAGCACCTAATTAAAAAAATATTTTATTACACAAATTATAAAAATATTGCATGCTATACAAATTCGAAGGTCCAAAATATTCATCCCATTATATGAAATAATATTTTTTTATTTTTCTTTAATTCTATAATTTTAAATATATGACTTCAAAAAAATATTAATATATGTACAGTATCCTGAATAAATATCTAAAATAAAAATTGAAAAATTTAATAATTTAATTTTTGATAAAAATGAACTAGAAAAATATATGAAGATAAGATTTTTTTTTTTTGACACTATTCAAAATTATTACAAAAGAGGAGACGTTGAAATTTGAATTCACGATCTAACCAGTACCGATCCAACCTTTAGGGCACTTAAAAATAAACAGCTGATTGGACAATTTTGCCCATATAAAAGTGAAGTTAAATAAAAAAAAGGCTGATGTCATGCTTGTTGTGCCTCAAAAATTTCATCACATGCAACAAATTAGGGTTAGCTGGAGAAAATGCTTGGACTGTTCCACTTGTTAGCATGTAGTGTGATACAGAGCTACACTACATGTTGCATATAGTGGATTTAAGGATGATTTCTTAGACTATGAAGATATGGATGAGAGACTTTGGACCTGGTATGTAGAGACCTTAATCGAACTAAGTTTTTTGAGTTTTGATATGCACAAATTGAGCTCAAGTTTGTATCAATGTTGAGCCTTGTGTTTGATTCTCGAACTTGAGCTCCGTCTGAGCATTTCAAGTTTGTATCAATATTGAGCCTCATGCTCCGATTTTTCTTAGGCTCGGCTACATTTTTACTTGTTTTTATAGTATGAGCTCGACTTTAGTAGTATTTGATTGGTACGATGATGTGATGACACTAGGGATAGTATAAAGCAGATGCTAGAGTTTATATCTAAATGTCTCATAAAATATTTAATATAACTTCCATAATCCCATAACATTATTTAGATAGATGCTTTGTACTCTTATAGTAGTTAGAGTACTCAGTCCCTCATGTATGAAGATAATTAATTCCTTTGTTGTGGTCGGACTATATTATGAATTTCCGACTACTTTCTGCATAAGAGTCTCTTATCTCTTCCTACCTCTTATTTGGAAAAAAATTGGATATATGTGAGAGAATTTCAGGAATTGTACTGTACAGTTTATTGCGGACAAGCTTTCCAAATGAATTTTTTTTTTTTTTTTTCTAAAAAACTAGGAATTATTATCTGTTTTTCTGTGTTTAGCAAAGAAGTAGAGAAGTACCAGAAAAAATGAAATGAAAGAAAAGTTATGCAATCACTTTAAATTCTGCATTCTACATATAATACAGGCTCAGCAAGAGTTAATCAGTGTTGTCTCTGCTGTTACTACCCCAAACAAAAGCATTTCTATTACAAACTGAGCACAAGACTCCATCCATTGCTAGCTTTTTGCTCTCAAAGGGTTTAGTATTAATTTCACAACCATTTCTAAAGTGGATTTGTCATAAACCAGAAGATCCTCTTCTCTTCCATATAGGTAGCAGTGTCCAGAGGAGCCGAAGAGATCGATCTTACAATTAAGCACTTACTACTGCTGCTTCAGTAAAACATCAACATGAGGCATTAATGGGGTGGTTGTTCAACAATAAATCACTAAGAGCTCAACCAGAAATGCCCCTCATCAGAATTTTACTGAATATTGATGTTATCTTTATTTTGCAAATCGCAAACAACTTACTGCTCCCACTAGTCGGCTAACAGTGTTGAGACAAGCACATCTTGGACAAAAACAGCTCTTCCGGTAGCCTGTCTCATTCTCTTTTCCCGTTCTTCATCACTTAACGATGGATCAAAACTGCAAGGAAACGAAGGTAGAGAGAAAAACAGAGGGGGTTAGAGCACAAATCCTAAAACAACCCGATTTCCAGCTTTTGAGATTAGAGCATGGATGTAGTACAAGTCTAAAACAAGATTCTTTTTTGAATGTCTAACAAATACCCTAATAAGAAAAAGAAAAGAAACCTTCTTGCACTGAGAGTGGATTTGGACCTGACATTTGGTGTCGACATTTTTTCCTTCTTTTTTTCGTTTTGCTTTGGGGAGGTGGGGGGATGAGGTACCTACAGGGGGCCATTGCCTACCACCCAAAGTTAAGCACACCGATGGCCTTTAGGGCAAATAATTGTCAAGTCAACCAGTGCCACTATGGACCTTTGGAGTGAACATGAGACTTGATGCTTCAAATTTCATTATGCAGATTGTTTCAACTCACCCTCTAATTAACAACGTCATGAATTACAGGCGTGCCTCGTATATTTTGTACAGGAATGCTGCTTAAATCATTTGATGGTCTGACAAATTTTGGGAGAAAGACTCTCAAAATCTACTTCACAGTACCATGTCATGCAGTTTTAAGGAACTCACTATATGATGCTCGACAGACACCTAATTCCTGCACACAGAAAAGGTTCTCTATAAGAAAGAAAAAGAACTTGATCGACTACCTTGATTTCCATATTGGTTGTGATGCCATACTCTTTGTAGCAGTGCCCTCAATACTAGATACCACAGATTTTGATATTTCTTCTGCTTCAGATGCAGGGAAGTTCAGAAAAAGAGATGAAAGTAGTGGATCTGTAACTGCATTTGATGAAGTAGCACTTTTTGACCGATAGCTACCACACCCTAGAAGCACCTGCAGATGCGCCTCACGAAGATCCCTCCCCAAAAGAGACAGTGCCTGACTGTCGGGCATTGCCACTCTACGTAACCTGCGACGTCTATGCATGTGATCACAAGTTAAAGAAAACTTCAAGAAATTGAACATGGTTGAATGTTATCAACAGTGCAGCCATATATGTTTACTGTTCAAAGCTGCGATCAGAAGTCAAACAAATGAATGAAATGATTTTCCATTTCAAAGGATATCTTGAATAAGTGCCCATGTTGCAGAGTGATATGACTTAACATGTCACTTGCAACTTTAACAGAGCAAATGGGACAAACCTGCAAGGAAAAGGCAGATGCAGTATGAGATCCTTGTGACGAAAAATTCAGACACCAATACTGATAGCAGTAAGTCTTTAAGAACAGTCATGCCATTGACTATCATTTTAATAAATTTTGACAAGAACAACATTCAGAAAACCAGAACCTCGTTATGTTGCATGATCAAGCTCTCAAATCAGACTTATCAGTAATAAAGTATACATATCCTACTCAGTGGCGTTCCTACACTAACCCTCTATTGTCTCTCTATCTATTTTCCTCTACTTTCCATTGCAAGAGCAGCTGAACAGCCATTGATCTTGAACTATATGGAAATCCAAGAAAAATTCCAACTTTCCATCTCAATCGACCTGTGCACTTGCCCTTAGCAACCGCAGGAGCAGATTGATATCCACTTGAAGTAGATGAGTTCAGTTTAGTTTGGATTTAACTTCAAGAAGAATTTCTAACCTCTCATTGACTTATCCAAACCATTAAAATTATCAACCAGCTGCCTGGCTCGGAAAGTAGTCCTCAAACTCTTAACCTCCACTTTATCATAAAAACATAAGTTTCAATATACTCCCTCTTCCTTTCCCTTCTCCCCCTTTTTCATGTTTTGGGTGGTGGTGGGGCAAAAGGAGGAGGAGGAACCTGTCTACGAAAGGGGGCCATAAGGAGATGATATACAAGAATTGTGCTGCCATAATGGTGGTTTTCTGAAATAATATATAGTATTTCTGTTGAGCCACAATCTATCGTCAAATATTTAACTCCGATAATCCTTTTTTGCATTCCTTCGAGAATGTCAAAGTGAAACTCCTTTACGGTCTTGTCCCTATTGTTGAAAACAGATTCAATGGAAATCCTACCTGTACACGATTCCATTGTACTAAACCTGGTTATTAGCAAAATTTCAAAGGAAGTTTGAGTTGCATACAGTTATCGTGAGCATTGATATCCTTTCTCTTTCTACTATCTTCCATATCATATACCAGACATTATATATACCTTGGGTTGATTCATTAATAATAAAAGGCAAGGAAGTAGATAATGGATCTAGTTGCGGGCCCTAAAGTGAGGGAGGAAGGGTGGGTTCTAAAGGCTTCAATTGTTCCAAATGAATCTCCTTTCCTGTTGAACTGACTGATAGGCTCTAGTGCAATATCTATGGACACTCATTTTTATCTCCATCGATTCCATCCATAGCAGAACACTGATGAAAGCTTCCGGAAAATATGTCCACCTAAGCACTCTGCTATCTCATGGTACCTAATTTCTTCCACATTCAGTAAATCCGAGCATAAATTCTTGCTCAAAATCTTTTTTGCCCCTTCATTAAAAATAAAGTTGGAATTACCAAAAAAAATTCTAAATTTTTTTGTACCAAATGATGTAGCACTTTCATAATCACTGGATGCTTAGTTTGAATAAATTAGATCCACTAACCCAATAATCCCCGTTGATTTGCTACAGAAAAATTGATTGAAGTTTTAGTGATGGTAGCATCGCTGGGCAATAGTCTGCTAATCAGTAGCCTCAACTTGAACACAAAATTGATGCTGCTTATTATTCACCACTCACCATTTTCTCTATTAGTTGTCAAAAAATGTTGTTGCCTACTCACACCCTCAAAACACACTCCTATTTGAGAATATACAGCTACAAGAATGAAACAGGCAATGCAATCCATTCATTGTATACACCCCAAAAAAGGAAAATAAACAAAATAAGAAAATCCAAAGACAAGTAACCTTTATTTTTCTGCGGGTTTAACACACCATTTGACAGCGTCACGTGATGTTCATAACCAAACAGAAGTTGTACATTTTCAAGAAAAACTGCCATTCATCACTTTGTTAGAACTTTTTTGAAAAAAAAATGAACTTGTGTATTTGACATGATAATTTTTTATTAGGTGTATAAACCACATAACATTGGCGCACTGCCACTTAACTTTTTTCAGTTTACAGACAAAAACTAGTGACGGCCTACTTGTGGAGAATATATTAAATGTAACGGTTACACCATATAAGCAAGTTAGTCCTACAAACTTAAGTAACCACCCATGATATGGTGTAACCCTCCACTAAGTGAACAAATAAGCAAGTTAGTCCTACAAAATAAAGAAACCCAAATCAACTGCTCCAAATTTAGTCCATCTAGCATTACTCTTTTTTTATTTCACGGTTACACTACAGTGCTATCGTGGGTAATATTTATTCGTATTTGTGACCAACCAAACACCAAGAATGGTGACCTCTCAACATACGCAACTGGGTAACTTCTACCTTTCCACTCAGTTGCCCACACCCCTTATTCAGAAATGGAAAACATAACAAAAACAAAAACAAAAACAAAACAAAATGGAATCATAATAGACACAAATTTGAAACTTCAATCTGCACAACCCATGAAATCCAAAAAAAAAAATCAGGCAAAATCAGATAATTATTAACCATTTTGAACAAAGGTACAACAAAGATCAAAACATTTCAACAAAAAAAAAAAAAAAGCAAATCAAAACGTAAAGCATAAAGGAAAATTGGAAAAAGTTGGAAAAAGACAAAGGAATAATTTACAAAAATATAAGAGGCATATATATAAATATTTGTATGATACTGATGATATGTAGAGAAACTCACGGTGACTTTGGACTCGCACGAGTGTTCATCTTCGAGATGCGAGCACAGAGAGACAATATCAAAGTCCTCGTAACAATATGGGCATGGAAAATCGGGTCGGACCTCTTCTTCAACCTCGAAATCATCGATATTCAACCGATCTGCCAAATAACAAAAACACCAAATATAACACAAACTGCTTCCAAAAAATAACTTCAGATCAATCCAAAGCAATAAAAACAAACCCAATTGAGAGTTGTGATGGTTGCGATGATTATGGCTTTGGTGGTGGTGGTTCAACGTGAATTGCCTCTTGGCGTCGGCCAGGCGAGAGGTCCAAAAGTCTGAATCCATGAAGACAGAGAGAGAGCGAGAGCGAGAGCGAGAGAGAGACTGGTTCAGCTGAGAATGATTGAATATAAAGCAAGAAAAACAAAATGTTGTTGATTCGTCGGTTGTGGATATTCTCTGCTTTGTTTTTGTTTTTTTATTAAATTATATTTTCTTGGTATTTGAGATTTGTTTGACTTTTCATCTCACAGGAAGGTTCAGATTTGGATATGGCGATTGTACTGTAGAGATGGATATGAGAGAGAGAGAGAGAGAGGAGGGTGTTATGGGGACATGACAGAAGATGACGGAGTGAGAAAATGCCGGATTTTGCAAGCCATTTGCTTTCCTCCACAGGTTTTTACGTCTTGTCTGTCTTTTGTTTAGTGGTCTGTATTTGTTGGATTTGAATTTCATTGTGGTACCGATAAAAAATAATTCAGTTAAAATTTATTATTTTAATATTTATGAGTTATTTTATAATTATTATTTTTTTATTTTTTGAATGATTCACTATATTTGTGAGTATTTTTTATTATTGTTCAATATTGTGGTAATTTATGAATATTTTTATCACTATTATTATAATTATTTTTATTATTTTTTTAGTATTATAACAATGATAAAAATATTCAAATACAACTCTAACGTGATTGATTTTTTTTTCCCCGGGTAAGTAAGGTGGTTCATATGTCCTTTTGGTTGGGTTTAAGTTTGCTTGGGTGGTATAGGTTTAAAATTTATTAAATTTATATCTAATTTGTATATTATTTAATCTATGAGCATATCTAATCTTTATCCAATTTTGCTTAAATTTGAATAAAAACATACTAAAAACAATCTCCAAATTTCAATTCTTTACTCAAATATTTATCAAATTAAGAGATATTCAAAATTTATCTTCCTTTAAAGATTAAATGATCATATTCTAATATCCTCTACATTTAGATTTGTTATCATTTAAATTTAAATTTATTAACTTTGAGTTCTTCATTGAAGTGTTTTATATTAAATCAAACTTTTTACTCAAATTTTACAAAATTCTTTTTTTTTTTTTTTTTGAGAATTAAGAAGGGTTAGATATACTCAGATTATAAAAAGAGATTATTTTTACAATTCAAATGTACTTAATTTTATCTTTTGTATACAAAGAAATTATTTTTACAACTCAAATAATTAATATTTAAATCACAATAGAATAACATTATCGTTGTTCTAATGTCTACTTCAACAAACTCTTGTAATTGTAATATAATATTGGGCCGGACACTATTATAAAAAAAGTAACGACAAAATTTAAATTTACGACTTCAAAATTTGCCAGTGAAAACGATGATCATTAGGCCAAATACAAACCTCTCTTAACCATTCATTTTGAAGCATAATAGATGTGCCACATATGTTTTGTCCCCTGACCTGTGACTATTCAATCAATGATAGAAGCCAACCAATTAAGGCGGCCAGTAAGTGCAGAGCTGTTTGAGATTTGTGGTCCAAAGAGGATCAGATTACTAGTTAACAAGGTACCTGATAAAGGCTGTTTCCGTTATCTGCTTTCTTCGTAGAAAAGGCATTGGTTTGCTATGACATTAGAAAAAACTTATTAAAAGATGGGTGGGCCTTCAAGCGACCAACCGCCTGAAAAGAATTAATCTAAATTTCATTTCATCGACTGTAGCATTACCTTGTAACCCGTAATTCGCCCTGCCGGTGTGATCACCTTTGGTGAAGCAACCCTTGGTATGTGTCTGTGTGGAGATGTATACTAAAGATTGTAAAGAGCAATGTAATTGGAACATTATTTAAGAACTTGATGATTATAACCATTAGATTGTCAGTGAGTCCCAATAACATTAGTGATAATGTGGGCAGCACAATCATTTGTTGGCTGCACAATTCTCATCATGCGACTGTGTTTGAACAAAATATCACCCAACCAAGTTAAATTATGCTGCCTAAGATCTACCTCAACTACCTTCATTGTGCTGACTGATCTCATTACCGGAAATGTTGGCAGTCTTGTAACAACCATAACTCAAACACCAACCCACTTGAGATTTAATCGAGAATGCCCAGAGACGATCATTTCCAGGAAAAGAACCATTTCAAAATCAAGCTGGATACTTCAAGCAGCACAAAAAAATTTGTATCATAATACCTACTTTTGGATAATTGGAAACTAGCTTAACTGTTGGATCACATTCAATCAAGCAGAATGAGCCTCAAGCAGTAGTGATACAAAAGTCCATTGACATCCATGGAACTACGAACAAATGCACCGCATCGCAATATACTAACGGTCATCCATCTACAGAACAAGAACAAGAGATATACTCACGGACGGTATTAAAAAAGGTTAACTAATTTACCCACAAGCCACAGCTGAAAGACAAAAAAGATGTAAAAAAAATAAGAATATAAAGACAGATCGTCTGTATAGTTAATTGTTTGATGAAATCCAAAACAAAAACTTTGAAGTAAACAAAAATGGAGGCAAGATAAATCTTCAAGCTGAAAGTCAGGCAATGAGCAGTAATCACAGCCCTAAACAAATCAAAAGAAGATGTATAAGCATATTGCTGGAATCACCGAACCTTAAAACAGATGGCTTGACAAGAATCTTGGATTCAGGATACAGTTTAGTTGAAAGTATAACACTGTAGAAGGACAGTTCCTCTAGTTATAAAAAATGTTAAAGTCAAAATATATGCAATGTATCAGCTTATATTGACATTTGGCTTATGCAATGCGGGAATCAGTCCTGCATCTGATCTTCCATGGCTTGTTAAGGAGCTAGGAAAACATCACTTGTTTGAACGCCAAACTAATCTAACAAAAAACCATCTTGGAATTTGTATCAAAAAACAAAAATAAAAAATAAAAACCATCTTGGATTTGCTTTTTGCCTAATATAAAGCTACAATTAGAAACAAAGGAAATCATGGTGGGAAATTATTCTGGCTTGTCTTGAGCACATTCAGTACTTTACTTATCAGGCATTCTCCTAGAGTGCATGCATACAAACTTTGCTTGAATCGTCCGACATTCATCATACACCATCGTTGCAATCTGATTTAGTACAAAGTATCAGCATAATCCTTATGTGACTAAACTAACAAGTAATGAAATAAAAATTCAAGAAAGCTTATATAGAGATATTGCAGAAATAGCGCTTGAACCAACAAGGATTCAAATATTCAAGTAGAATGGTCATCAGGCAGCAAGAAAATGAGAAAGCACAAAGGGAAGTGAGGAGAGCTATTGGAAAAGACATTAACGCCCATGGCCAAACAGAAAATATGCCCATTTTTTTGTCTACAGATAGAGCGGAACTCAAAAATCCAGATACAAAGCCTTTTATAAGAGAGATAAGTGGTAAGACTAAGTAATACAGAGCTGAGTACAGATACAGCCTTTTGAATGAGATTCTTTTCTTACGTTGAAATTTAGGGATTCTGAATCGACATCGAGAGAAATAGAGTTGGAAGATTCAATAAATTGAAATTTGTTTTAATGCATGCAAGACAAATATTTAGAAAACAGTGAATGTGAAAGTTAATGAATTACGATGTGACTGGGATGAATGGTTTTTTAATTAATCAGCAATGCTGTAAGGGTAGATTTGGTGCACTGAAATTTTAACACTTCCCTAAAGGAATAGCAATCATTTCACTGAATTATAAGTTCTAGAATTGTGATTAAGTGACTTCTATCCCGTTCAATATTAAACTTGCCGACTTATGAGTATCACCTTTGCCCAACAAGGCCACAAGTCTAATACAAAGAAATCACATCGAAGAATGTGAAAATATATATTTTATAATGATTGAGTTTAGAGGCTTTGTTCCTTTCTAAGCAAGAATCATGAAGAAAAAAATGTTGATGGTCATAGTACCCATAACTAACATAAAACAAAATACAGAAAATGCTAGTTTATTTATCATGTTGGCACTAATAAGATTGGACACTATTCAATGATAAAGATCATGCACTACATAACTAGTCCCCAACAATAACCTCACTAGCTAGTCAATAAGAGTATAAGATACGGAACTAGTCCCCAACGATGACATAACCTCACTACCTCGTCAAAAAGTCTGCAATTGACATACAAAATAACAAGGGAATCCTAAGCACAACATTGATGATATGGATGACATGATGATTCCAAGTTCATGGCTTCTAATAAGGGTTAACCACATTCTCATTATCGACCCTTTTTAAATTTAAGTTGGTCATCTAAGAGCATCTTCAACCCTTACCCTTATAAACCTAAATTTAAATTTGAGTAAAAAATTCCTATAAACTTTCTCTAATGCTATACCCAAACCCATACCAAATCAAGAGAGATTCAAATTTTTACCAAAATCAAAAGAGATTCAAATTTTTACTCAAATCATTAATGGTCATATTTTATTCTCCTTTAAAAATCTAATGGTCATATTCTATCCTCCTTTAAATTTAGATTTGTCCAAATTCAAATTTTAATTTGTCCTCTTTTAAGTTTGAGTTTCTCCATTGGAGTGTTTTTGTATCAAATTAAGTTTTTACTCATATTTTATTCAAATTTAGATAAGAGTTTAAATTTTCATTAGAGATGATCTAACATTTATTGGACATGTCAAACAAGGAATTTCTTACTTATTTTTGGGAGGCAAGTTTAGCATATTGGCATCCGGTCCAAATGTTTTGCATTTTGTGTATATTCACACCGCAACTTTCTATATTTTCTTGTAATATAATCACATCATTGTCTTTCATTCATATTAGTTACATATATATAAGATACTTTGATCCTTCATCTTTCCCCATAACTATGTTAGGTGCACTCATGTATGATCATTTGCAACTAGCATCATCCAGTTCCCACCTTCAACCTCTCGCAACTGAGATGTCTTTGAGTAAATCTCCCACTCAAATAACTCAATATCACCTGGGCATTAATGTTCTAAACTTATCCACAATAAAAATAGATATATTCTTATTCAAATTCAATGAGAATGTGTTATTTGTAAAATGAGGCATAGTTGTCAAATCGCGTATCGGAAGGTGTATCGTATTGTAAGATACGGCACAATTTTAAATAATTAATAAAAAAATATAAATGCTTTTGAAAAAAAATTATAGACTCATAAAAACATAACATTTCATTAATATTTCACCTACTATTCAAGTCACTAATATAATTTATTAATATTAAAAAAATAATGAAGGGTATCAAATTAAATTAATGGTACTTATGTACACTTAAAAGTAAAAAGTTATAATGTAATGGGATAGTAAATGTAATTTTTCATTCTTAAAAAAAAAAATATATCTGCACATGTCGTGACCCACGAACGGAGGCAGCAAAGGCACAGAGAAAAGAGAAGAGGAGAGAGGCGATGGCGATGCCGGAGAGAGAAGAACAAGAACAAGAACATACCTCGTGGTCGTAGCTCACAGTGATGAAGAGAGATCATGCGACAGAGAGAGATCGTGAAACTAACAGGTTTGGGGTAAAAATTCAACCTAGGGTTTCATCCGAATTACAGGTTAGTGTTGCTATTTTTTTCAATTTCAAAAATTTATTTGATTTGCTTTTCTTAGGTGTTTTTGTTGATTTGGGGGTTTGATGGACTGTAATTCTTGCCTTCATCTCTTGCCTTTCTTTGACATTTTTTCTATTTTTTGAGACTGTGAACGATTTGGTGCGTAAAAAAAAAAAAAAATTAAACAGAGACTTCGCGTATCGTTCGTATCATATCGTAAAAACTTATCGTGTATCGGACAATACAATGCAAAAACGATACATAACTACGCTCCGTATCGTTTTTCCTCCATATCGTACGATACTATCAACTATGCAATGAGGTAGTTTAATATGGACTAGTCATAACTCCATCCTTTTTTTACAACTAGGTAGGTGTGATTAAAACTTAGAGACAAACTTTAGTATTTTATCTTTGTTGCACATACAAGACTACCTTGTATGTTCCTAGGTTCCACAAGGTTGATCCATCACAATACACCAAAATATTTCACTCTATGTTTCTTAGCTTTGCCCAAAAGCATACAAATAACAAATTACCATATTTCCAACACTTGAAAAGTCATGAGCAATTGTAGAGGTTCCACCTTTTCTAATTTATATATTTCACTTGTTCCCTTTTCTTATTCAGATTAATGAAACTTTCTTGAAGCCTAAAACCAAAACATATGCAAACATCACAAAAATACTTACTAAAAAGTTCTTGAAGCCATCTTCAATCCTACAATTACGCTCCTAATATCCCGCCACCTCGCTGCGGCAACTTAGCTATCTTATGAACGCCAATTGAAACAAACAAAAACAACCAAATCAAAGTTGTAGTCTGTATGCAACCAAAATATCTAGAAAACTTATTACCTAGTTATCAACAACACAAAAACTCCCAAAAAACATAACAATTTAACCAATTGAAACTTATTACCCGACATTTTTTTCCCATTGCAACTAAACCCTTATCAATAATTCTATATTAATAGCAACATACACACCTACACGCACACACGCCAACACATTTAATTCAAGAAATATAGAGCCGATATACCTTCAAGAGTCCAAGCATGGCGCCGAGGAGCGACGGAAAGCATAGAAGTGAGCAATGCAGAGGCAGTTGCAGTGTGATAAGGAAGCATCGATTCCACACAAACAAAGCTCATCTCAACAGGTAACCTATTGTTAAAATCAACATACCCAAAAGTTGAAAAGTAACAATGAAGTTAATAAGCGATCAAATCTATAAAAGCATCCAAAATGAAAGAGCTTCTGAGAGTGAAATTTAGTATGTGTATGACCTGAAAATGCGAGCAGAGATGGTGTTCTGAGTGGGGATGCGAAAAGGGGACTGTGTAGCCTTGGTTTTGGCTCCAGCAGTCAGTCTCACCGTGGCGGTCCGGGCGGAGATGGTGGCGGAGCGGAGGACGGACCTGGCGGCGATGGTGGCCATGGTTAAAAGGACTGATAGTCAGAGAGAGAGGTTTACGCTATTCAACAGAGGAAGGGGCAAAACGCAAAAGGGCTTTGTTGGGGTTTTGGCATATGCATCTGCTTTTCATTTGGAGAAATTTCACATAGACCCCAAATATTTTGGTCAAATAACACATGTACCCCCGATATTTAAAAAATGATACAACATTCCCAAGCGTTAAAAGTTTGTCAGCGTTAACCATTTTACCAAAAAGGCATTTTAACCCTTATAAAAACATTAGAATTACGTAAACGAAAATAAACCCGTGAACGGGTACCCAAATTTATACCCTTATCTCCCGGTATTTTTTTTATATTACGGTGAAGGATGTTCAGAATAACTTACATAGGTCTCGACTAATTTCCTCACCAATGGTTAAAGACAGGCAATTCACGTTGCGATAAGAGAATTAATAAAAGATAAATTCCTTAGTATTTAATCCTAAAACAGTTGTCAAATTTTGAATTTAAAATATTTAGATTTACAACATGCTATGCTTTGGAGTACTAAACTCCACGCTTCACCTCTGTTTGTCATCCTCATTAGTATCTCTCCCATGGTGTCAATTTTGTGCATTTCATTTAATTTTTGAGTTGCGGCATTTTAACTCTTATCATGTTTATTTCAATATTTGTTTTAATAAAAATTATATAATTTTAAAATAATTCATATAATATTTTAGCATAAAATATTTATTTTCTATACTAGTTAATCGTGTTATACATATCTAACTGGAATATTATCCGTATCGTGTGTATGCCAATGGATAAAATTGCCCGGATCCTCCCCCAGCTGAATTCCCTCAAATCATGGGGTCATTTGGAATTTGTCCATAGATTCTCAAATAAGAAGTCAGACTGGGGGAGGAGAAGAAATAATAGAATCTATATAACTAAATCTAATTTATACGTGAAAGAACACACAAGCCAGCGCCTGTAGCTCAGTGGATAGAGCGTCTGTTTCCTAAGCAGAAAGTCGTAGGTTCGATCCCTATCTGGCGCGTAAATACAATTTTTTCTAACCTAAAAGGATGGTATTTTTTTTTTGGTTCGGAAAAAATTCATAAAAATTTCATAAAAATCAAGAATCAAAATTTTCTTTCAAAATGGTCAAACCATTTTGTTTTAGTATATTTTGACCAGTGTTTTCAAATGTTTTAAAAAATAAACAACTTGCTAACATAAATAATAAATAAGTCAAGATAGTAACAAACACCTATAATAAAAAATTAATATGATTAACATGTTTAAATATTATTGTATTAATAAAATGTCAGCCATTTTTGTCAAGTATTGACATAAATACTTGCAAAAGAAGAAGATTTTATTCTTTTTTTTTTTACTATAATATGGTTCTAATAAATGTTTATTTATAAAAAAAATTAAGGGTGTAGGTTTGATTGAGAGATAATAGAGTCTTATGAGATTTTGATTCATGGATTACATGAGTTAATTATTCAAATACGTCAATAAAACAGGTCCGATTAGTATTAGAACATTTGACATAATTAATTAAATAAATTAAGGTAAAATTAACTAATTCTTAACACAAATTTAAATTAACACAATTTAAACACTGATGATGCACAAAATAGTCTTATACAAGATCAACAGTCGATTGTGTGATAAAATATAATTAATGGACAATTTAATAGAGACAATAATGTAAATATCGGGTCAACACGCAAATATATAGTGATTCGGTCTGAATAACCTACTCCACTCCAAAAAACAGCAACGACGATTGGAAAACCTTTTATTGATTAAGTAAGGTAAACGAGAGAGATATATATGATTAGTCCCGGAAGAGATACAATAGTTAGGAGAGAGAAAAATTTATGTGTGGGGTGTGTAGGAGGTGTAGAGATGTTCTTCTCAATAGAGAGAGCTTACAAGTTATAAATACAAAATTTTAGTTGAGTTGAGACAATGACTTGAGGGGGAAAGCATTAATTTTTCGGGAAGAATAGTTACAAAAGGTAAATATAATTAAATAGTGTCTTAATCTTCGAGAGTGAATATCTCGATAATTACTCCCCCATACACTAATTCTTCTTGGACTCTTCGATCTTCGAGAATGAATATCTCGATAATTACTCCACCCATTCACTAATTCTTCTTGGACTCTTCGGACTTTGGGTTGGCAGATTGCTTTGTTCCTCTCTTAAATAAAGTTATCATCCACAGGTCTATCATTAAATTGAAAGATTGCTTTGTTCAAATGTTTGTAAAAAGACTTATCAAAAAAAAAAGTTGGTAAATAATAATGAGTTGTAGGTATGTATAGGCAGCTAAAAAAACACACACATCTATCTTTACATAATATCTTGTCCTTATCTTTTTTTTTTATTTAATATTCAGGAGTGATCAGACCAACTTATATGCATTTCGACTAATTCTCTTTTTAGTCCGCTCAAAGATAGACTATCCACGTCGGGACTAGAGTATTCAAGACGTGATCCTAAAAGATTCCCAAGATTCAAACTTAAAGATGTTTAAATTTACGATTTATTTTTTTATAGTACCCTTTAAAGTTTATTTTGTCCCTATCTAACACCAAGCTTTGAGTACCTCAGTGGCGTGAATTCTAATTTGAGGGTTCGAGTATTGGTACCACCACCAAGCCATTCATTTAATGAGGTATTCTAAAATACCTCTGTTTTTTGGGTTCAACCCCCTTCTAATTTCTTATCAAGGGATTCTCCTATTCTTTTTGAATGGTCAGAGTCTATACAAATTTGTTGGTGAATACAAATCTTAATCATTCAAAATAAATTAATATATCTTCCAATTCTTGTAAGATTGAAAAGGAGTCAAACCCCCCTTTTTCCTCACAAAGGAAATAGTAAGGACCAGAGGAAGTGAGTTTGAAGGGAGTGAGTTTTGAAGGTACTGTATTCTAAGAACCCCCCTTTTTCCTCACATGAAAGCCTTTGACCTCTCTTAAATATATTTCTCTTCTATTTTTTAAATAAATTATCTATCATGAATTTAGACCTGTTAAATATAAATTAGTTTTTCACTCATTAATGATAGATAATTACTAAGAAGGTCTCAATTCATTAATAATAGATAATCGTCAAGAAACAAAATTTAAAAAAAAAACAGTGAAAGAGATAGTATAAGTCACACACTTGCACGATATCTGCAAAAACTTAGCAATTTGAATAGCTAATGGTGCAATGAAAATTTTGATTTTGACCAAGACACTATCCAGCATCCTTGGAGATAAAATCTTGACTCCACTATCGAATACAATGCAACAATAGTATTTTTTACAGTGGTACCAAAAATATGGTTGATTCGGATAAGATTATAACACAAATATATTAAAATTACGGGTTAATGAGAAGTGATTCTACAAAATTAGGATTGATCCTAACCTTTTTTGAATTATAACTTAATTTTAATTGTGTCATAACTAGCTTTTTAAGTAAATAATCTAGGTACTGTATATTATAAAAATCAACCTAAGGGAGGGAGGGTTTACGATGTTTTTCCTCCCTAATTTTGTTTTTCTAATTTTGAATTATCAGATAGAAATATATTTATTGGTCTCTTATAATTGAATTCCAACTTGTACCTGATATATTAATGTTGTAATTTTTTATTAAGGGTAATTACGCTCACATTCTCTAATATTTTATTTTATTATACAAATATTCCTTCATGTTTCAAAAATTATATTAAGATTCCTTGACATTTGAAGCTTATACTAAGATTCCTTGACATTTGAAGCTTATAACAACTGCACCCTTCCATCTTCCAACTAACGGACGTCAGAATAGTTCATATTTAAAGCCGATGTCATCAATAATAATTCTTGAAATATCAAAAAATTATTTCAAAAATTTATCCCAATCTATCATTTATCATTTCTCTATTTTATATTTCATATATAAACTAAAATGTTTCCAATTAAATGTTGAATTTCATAATCTATCAACTAAATATTTTTTTCACTGCGTAGTTCGAGAAGTAGCCCAAAACCCCTAGAAACCAAAATCAAGTAAATAGATTTCAACCTCGGCAAAGTTAGACTGATGACCAGGATTGTGCTAAGACTCGGGGCAAATCTCGATATCAGCCGACTCATCGACAATCTCTTGCATAGTATTCTGCACGAACTCATCGAAGGAATCAAGTTGTTGACAAACCAGACCCTGCACTTTTGAAATAAGCACTGATCACAACCCAAGCGTCCTCTTGGGTTATCTCTTCTTCCTTGTCATTGTATGATGATTCATACTCTTCTTCCAAATCAATAGTTTACGGTGAAATCCAAGTGAAGAAGTTCAGAGTTCAAAACCCTAGAAATATGGGTGACAGTCTTACAAAGTCCAAGAAGAGAGAGAGAGAGAGAGAGAGAGAGAGAGAGATAGGTTGACGAATGGGAGGTGTATTTATATATGGTGGGGCGCAAGGTTTTAGTTTAGGGTGGTGGATAATTGATTAGCTAAGGCGGCATGTGATTGAATCCAGATTTGCCCCTAAATCCATCATTAACACCAACATAGTTAACCACCACCCACCGCTACCTCCACACCACGGAAACCACCACCATACTTCTCTGAAAATCACGACCACCTCCTCCTACTCCTTATCCCCCACTCTCTCTCTCTCTCTCTCTCTCTCTCTCTCGCATACACAGAGCCCCACCACTGCCCAGTAACGAAATAATCCATCATCGGTCCATCACCTCCATCTTCATCTTCACCTCCTCAACTACACAACACATACACGACTACCACAGTCCAGCAACCTCACCACATTCTTCTCCAACACCTCCATTTCTACCTCCTCAACCACATCACACACACAATCCAACAACCACTTTAAAATCGAACCCCCAAAACCCCCAAAATCATGCAGACATATTTTTTAAGCTTCGGATCCTTTTGATTTGTCAGATCTTCACATCAAATCTGCGCATCAAATCTTTTCAATTTCTCAGATTTGGATGGGGGTGGCTACTAGAGGTGCTACAGTGGTGGGGGAGGGCTAGCAATTTTCACTGCTTCTTTTGCGATTTTGGGCTTGTACTCTCTCTCTCTCTCATATAGTATATACTTTTAGACTTCACAATCGTGTCGAGTGGAATAATTTTGTATCGGATGAAACGAGTTTGTGTCAAAAAATTTCAATGCATATCCCATTCGTTTATATAAACAAGTCCAACTATTATACCCATACACAAATTATTTATTAGACGAGTTATCTGATATAACTTGTGTGTCACCCGTTAAATAAGAGAATAAGTTAGATTATTTTGAGTACACACAAAAAATCATCAACTTACTACACATTACATATGTTTAACTTATTTACTATAACAATAAATCAAAGTTGAGTAAAAAAATAAAAACAAAAAATAAATATTAAATGACTTTTAAATTTGAATAAGTGTAAGAGATGAGAGGTATGAGATGAGACAAAGGCTCAGTGACTTAACTTTTTAAAAAAAATTATAATACAACTGTTAACGGGTTAAACGAGTTGAAACGAGTTTATGGGTTAAACACGAAACCAGTTCATTTATTTTACGAGTCTACCAAGTTAACTCGTTAACCACCCGAACCTGTTAAGACTATACTCAAACCCACTAAATCCGTGTCAATTCGTCATGAGTCGTGTCTAGAATTGTCAGACCTATATACTATGAGCATGTTTGTTTCGAGTATAAAAATTTAGGTGGTATAAGGTTTTATATTCATTCCACTTTAATCCAATAGTATATTATATCCGGTGTTAAACTATAATCTCATCCTTCTCCTTGTTTGTTTATCACAAATATTATCTGTGTAATACCTACTTAAAAAAGTCAACAATTGAGACTAACTAATGTAAAATATAATTTCAACCTTTAAAAAGTCAAAAATTACGTCTAAGCTTTTATATGAAAATTGTATTGGAGGGCATTTTGGTCTTTTTAGTTTATAATACTTATACCAAGAATATAATATCACCCCCTAGGTGGTATTCATTAAGACTTTCTACGAGACATTATAACTACTGTTTATAGCGGGTCGGTATTACGACCCAAAAAATAGTACTGACTATAAAATGTCAAACAAACAACGTATAAAATGGATCCCACGTACTATTTTTCTAATATCACCTCTTTATACTACTCTAATAATCAAAACAAATGGCCCATATATATATATATAGAGAGAGAGAGAGAGTGAGAGTTAGAGAGAAAGCGTTAATGGTGTAGGTGCAGAGAATACGACGAAGGCATTAGGTAAAGGGCTCGTGCTTTGGGTTTGAGTTTGTGTTAAAGAGAAGGGCAAAATAGTCTTTTACCAAGATTGTTAATTTCATCTAACAATTGAGGTCTTATTGTAATTTTTGAAACATGAGGGGATGTTTGTGTTACAAAATCAAATATAGTGAGGTGCGAGTATAATTTACTCTTTTATTAACTATTTCACATGTGAATTTGTCATCAGCTCTATCAACTAATTCAAATTGATTTTTTAAAAAAAAATCAAGTTAAGACATTAATAAATAACTTTTTAATAATATTAGAATGGGATGAATACGGTACGTTAGTACTTGGCGCATACCTTTGATTGTATATTAGGGTAAATCCTATTTTACTCCCAGAAAGATACACAAATTTTCAATTTGCCCCATAAAAGAAATATAAATATTATAACGTGGTCAACTGTTTTATTTTTATTTATTTTTCTTTTGATTTGTGATTTCTAATTGGTTAATTTGACACAAAATAAATGGACGACCACGAGTCACATTACAATATTTTTATTTCTTCGAGAGGATAATATGAAAAAATTAATCTTTTAGGGGATTAATTGAAAATTTTTGTATCTTAAAATTCATTCCAAAAAAAGGGGGGTAATATTGAATTTTTCCTTCATATTAATTTATTTTTGACTCTTGATTTTAAAAATAATAAAATAATAAAATTTTATACTGGAAAAAAAAGTACTAATTTTTTTTTTCCCGATGTGTAGCTAGACCGTTTTATAAACGTTTATATAAAATTGGTCAAAAAGCTGTCTGCGCCCCAACTGAAATCTGGTAACTTCCACACTCTTCTAATCTTTCACCCCTTCCAGATACATCCTCTCTCTCTCTCTCTCTCTCTCTCTCTCTCTCATATATATACATTTCAATCCTCTCTATCTTTCTCAGATCAAGCGCTCCACCCATATTATATTCGATAAAGATTTAGCAGAAGCAGCAGAAAAACAACAATAAAGAGCACTAAGAAGAAGAGGAGGAGTTGTTGAAGAAGAGAGAATATCAGATGGGTGTGGATTATTATAAGATATTACAAGTTGACAAGAATGCCAAAGATGAAGATTTGAAGAAAGCTTATAGAAAGCTTGCCATGAAGTGGCACCCTGATAAGAATCCTAATAACAAGAAAGATGCTGAGGCGAAATTCAAACAGATCTCGGAAGCCTATGAGGTATCCATCTCTATTTTCTTTTGGGTGTGTGTAATTGTGTGTGAATGAATATTTGCAGTATTTGAAGGGTAATGAGCATTGCGGAAAATTCTATGATTATGTGATAGAGATGATCTTCTAACGATTTTTAGGAACACATCACAATCCCTTCTTTGATTCGTTATCTCTGTGTGTGTGTGTGTGAATATTTGCAATATCTGAATGGTACTGAGCATTAATTGCGGAAAATTCTATGATTATGTGTTAGAATTGATCTATTTTTAGGAACTTACAGTGTTGAATTTCTTAGTTCCTTCTGTGTCTCCTAGATTGTAACTTTTTTCCAAGTTCACTCAGAGTAATCTAATCTGGATTTAATAAATTTCTCTGAACATATCACAATCTCATCTTTGATTCGCTCTCTCTCTCTCTCTCTGTATATATATAAGTGTGTGTGTGTGTGTGTGTAGGACTTGCAGAACAGCCAAAGTTTGTGTATGTATGAGTGTGTTTATGAGGTTTTAGGATTATGTGTAATGGTATCTGATGTTGATTTTTTTTTTTAAATTTGATTTATTAGGTTCTAAGTGATCCACAAAAGAGAGCAATCTATGATCAGTATGGTGAAGAAGGGCTAAAAGGGCAAGTGCCACCGCCAGATGCTGGAGGACCTGGTGGGACAACATTTTTCTCATCAGGAGATGGACCAAATGTGTTTACATTCAGTCCTAGAAACGCCAATGACATTTTTGCTGAATTTTTCGGGTCTTCGAGCCCATTTAGAGGAATGCCTTTTGGAGGAATGGGAGGGGGTAGTGGCATGAGGGGAAATTCAAGGTTTTCTGGTGGAATGTTTGGGGATGATAAGTTCAGTTCATTTGGGGATGGCAGACCAATGAGTTCAGGTCCCCGAAAGGCGCCTCCAATTGAGAATACATTGCCTTGTAGCCTAGAAGAACTATACAAGGGTACCACTAAGAAGATGAAGATTTCAAGGGAAATACTTGATGCAAGTGGGTAAGTGGTTTTACTCCTTCATGTATAATTTGCTTACTTTCATTTGTTTTGGGATTTTTCTGCTATAGTTATCTTTCTATATAATTATGGTCATTGTTGAATTTTATGCTAGTGATTCAATTATTGGGAATTTTTCCTTGATAATTTGTTGTTTTTTACTGGTTTTGATTGTATGGTTTTGTTTGCTTAAAGTGCTCATGTTAAGACAGTTTCTTTTTAGCCTCTTTGGTGGTTCATTATTTCTATCGAGTGCATTAGAAGCAGAATATGCTGCCTTAGACTAGAAATTTGTACTCGAAAAAACTTGTGCTTGTTTGTAGTTTGGTACTTCTGTTTGCTTGTTTATGGCGCTATCTGTCTATAATTTCTCTCTCATCTTCACATAGATAAGATCGCAAATCAGTTCTGTAATTGGAGAATGAAGAACAAGATTTTCAGATTTTCAATAATCTTTGTGGGAAGTGCACTTTAGATACTTTGTTGGGATAATGCATCATATTTCTTATCAATCAAACTGTCAAGAGCAATTGTACTGTTTATGCAAAAGCAGGGATCTATCTTATACTCGATCTAGTGTGGGCATAAAGCTGGGCTAATAGCATATCTTGGGGAAAAGATTATTGGCATAAAAAAGGAACAAAACAAATGATTTTGTGCTTGCTAATCTGTAAAGGAGTTGAATATATGGACCCTACGTTTTTGGGACTACTTGGCTCAAATTAGTGTATTAGGTATAACTTTGGAAGTCTCGTGAGTTTAACTTGAGTTAGTGCTGACATAGATCTCAGTGATGGTTTTAGAAGTGGCACCATTTTTAGTTCGTTATGCTTGCTCTTTAGAGAAGTGAAGGTCATGGACTGGCAATTAACCTTTAGAATTTTACCAGTTCTTTGTCTTGGTTGCTGGGGCATTTGTTGAGCCACTATTCTGAAAATGCTTTGTTCAATCCTCTATAAACTCCGAAGTATGGTTCTGGAATATTATTATCTCGGCCAGTCAACTACTGTTTTCTATCTTTTTTCCCTTTCTTATAATGTTGTTAAATTTATAGCTATCTATGTCTAATTGTCTATTGTAAATCGGGTGTTACTTAGATGAGAAACTTGTAGAAGGCACGAGTTGTTATAGTGATCATACCCAGGGTGGGGGGTTTTGTTGCTCATTTCGTCGTACTTTATTGCTAAATGCTTTTATTTCGCAACATATTTGTTTCTTCTCAAGACAATAGAAATAGTTCACCTCTTTCTTATCTTTGGTTTTGTATCTAAAACAATAATTTTTCTTGTTAAACAGGAAGACCTTGCCAGTAGAGGAGATTCTAACCATAGACATCAAGCCTGGTTGGAAAAAGGGAACAAAAATCACATTCCCTGAGAAAGGGAACGAACAACCAAATGTTATTCCTGCAGATCTTGTATTCATAATCGACGAAAAACCTCATAGCGTGTTCACGAGAGATGGCAATGATCTGGTTGTCACTCAAAAAATATCGCTCGCTGAAGCGTTAACAGGATACACAGTCCATCTCACAACACTCGATGGAAGGAACCTGACTATACCTATCAACAGTGTGATTCATCCAAATTATGAAGAGGTTGTTCCGAGAGAAGGAATGCTAATACCAAAGGAGCCATTGAAGAGGGGCAACCTTCGAATCAAGTTTAATATCAAATTCCCGACTCGGTTAACGGCTGAGCAGAAGTCTGGAATCAAGAAACAACTTGCTCCATGAGTTGGATAATAGATTGGCTTGTGAATTGTAACTTTTTTTTTAGTTTTTTTTACCCCCCTCTCTCTCTCTCCCCAAATACCACGACCATTTAATTGTTATTTTCAGTTTATAGGTGGATCGATGGGAACTTATTTTAAATTAACGTTTATTAATGTAAAATCATGTTTGCAGAAATACGTCTTTAAACACCTTTAAAGTATATAAATGTAAACTGATTGACTCTTGACTTTATTGCAGTAGCAGGAAACAATACAGTAACAAGTGTTTAGATCCAGCTCCATTTTCTACCAAATAATCCAAATTTCAAAGTGCTCTTTGAGAAGTGAAACTGTCAAACTAACAAACACAAACATTCATTTACATTCAGACTACACTAAGAATGGCTTCTTCAATGTAGCTTTCCACTTGTAGAATCCATGATTTTCTAAACCTTGTGTTACTCTTTTCCATAGGAAAAACATATTCTCAAAAAACCGAAGATTCAGAGAAAACTTCACAAGACTGTTCCGATAATAATAAACTGTTACATATGTTTCATCCTCTCACGATTCTGTTAACTCAAGTCAGAGCTTGTAATTGCCAAAAGTAGGTTTGGAGAGATGATCTCAATACATTATTCCAGTTGCAAATTAGCAATTGTCTGTACTGTGAATGACAAGAAATATAATTGAAAAAATAATTACACGATTATTGAGAAATATTTAATCCGCCATTTGCTTCTTTTAGAGGAAAAATATTGAAATCTACACGAAAGATTCCTCCCATGTTGATGCCTCTCTTTGTCTCATGCTGCTTTCATTTGCTGAAAACACCGAAAAAAGGTTCGTGTTAGATAAATTAGTGCAGTTTCAGAGGCTGATCTGTTTATAATTTTGTTTATTTACTAGGTAATGCAGTATAAGGATGGTGCAAACCACTATAAATTAAATGAGGAGCTTAAAGAATGGCCGCCTTTGCAACACTGATTTTATTTTTGAAACGATTTAAATTAAATAGATCCACGATTAGACGCTATATTTCTAAATTGGACTCACTCGTTTCTCTTCTTCCATCTTGGCCTTGATAAATGAGTAGATAGCCACTCCAGCAATTGCAATGCATGTTCCTATGCCAGTTTGAGTAGAAATCTTGTTACCTGCAAAATTATTTTGTTAGATTTTTGTTTTTCGATACGATACGATGAACTTGGTAAACGGTATCTATAGGACATCATCAAGCAGAGGCAAAGATGTATATTTACCAAAGACTATGATTGAGAAGCCAATCACAAACACCCGTTTCAACACATTTCCAACTGCATGTGTAAGCGGTGCCACCCTCTCAAGGGTGTTTGTTGCCAGCTGAGAAGCCAAAAGAACAAAATGTTTCAAATATTAACAATAGCAGGGACAATAAAGGTTGCTGCTTCATGCAGTTAAGCCTTTAAGGGGAGATATGAATTGATTGTTAGATCGAGTAAGTGCAAGGACAAGAGTTCAATAACCCTACAAATTTTATAGGTTACCCCAAAAGATGAAACACAAATACCTGATTGTACAGGTGGTAGAACATTCCCACCCAGAAGAGATCTGAGAGGAACTTTGTCACCCCTACTTTTGCAATAGCATCACTAAACCCATGCTTAATCAGTTGAGGTCCGTCAATCTGTGTGATCAAACATGAAATCACACAAAAACGATAAGAATTTATTGCTGTAAGGAAGAGAATATCCGGGTTCGTCATCAAAGATAGTCTTACAATTATGGCAGGTGGAATACACACGATGAGAGCGATGATGGAGATGTAGGCATACAGATTGGTACTGTCCATATCAGTCTGCCAAAGGAGAAGCAGACGTAATAAAGAGACTGAGCTATAAAGAAGAATGTTTTACAATTTTGGGTCTATCTTCAATTAATCAAAGATAAAAGGGTGAAAGCTGGAATAGAAGATAACCATGGCTTTCTTTGAGTATATACTCCGGTAAGTGAAGGAGATATTGGAAATCATCGCACTGATGAAGCCCAACCAGTTGAAAGAAAGCTCAGTCAATGACGCCATTGATACACCTGCACTCAATTTAACGTTAACATTGTAGTGGTTCAAGTTCAGGTTTTCCATATGTACACAAGGATCATAACGTTCAAAGTTTTAGTTTTTCGTATTTGCTTCAGCATGATTCACAATCTTCATTTGCCTGAAAACTGCAAGATATTTTATGTTTCACTATTAAGAACGAAGTAACCAGCAAATTAGGATTAACTAGTGGATAGCTGTGGCTTGAACTCCAAATACAAGGGGTGTATGGGAGAGTGACAAGCACAAAAAAGACAAACAACCACAGACAAACGAGGAGAGCATACCAAGGACAACCGGAGCCAATGATAGCCAGAGAGTTAGGGGTATTTGCTGTCCAAGAATGAATTGAGATGCAGCGGCATTGAAGAACGGCTCGAGTGCTGATTCAAAATGATTCAAACATAAACGAGATGCATTTTACTTGGCAAACAATATAAGCTAGATAATAATCGCAACATCATATTCCCTGTGACGCTATGTTGAATAACATAAATTACAAGACCTTTGACTGTGTGGGTGAACGAAACTGCAACTGCTGCAAATGAGACATTGCTGGTCACATGGCCTAGGGCATGACACACAGCGACAGGGATGAGCAGCTTAAGAAGGTTTGAGTCAATAGGCTACAAAGTGAACCAAACTCAGGAATTAATAACATGTCAGTACACAAGGTGTCCAAAATCATTGCAACTATGTATATAATTATGATACAAGGGGAACACTACAAACAGGGACAATTGGCAACATGTAACTAGGAATTTTACATTCTGTCGACAGTGAACTTTTTCTTTTTCTTTTTGTGGGTGGGTGGGTGGGTGGGTGGGGGTTGGGGAGGGAGGGATTGAAAAGATTATGGAGGAGTGGATGATATCAAATTCAAGAAAGCATCCAACATGAATAAGAACCCTTATTGTTGATGGTCCACAAAGACCTAAATGCAATAGTCAGGAATTCTTGACGATATCAAGCTGGCAACCTGTTCTTCCTTAATATCCTGATTCAGGGGCAAAGAATTTTATGCCGCTACCAAATAGTATTCGTCTCTACCATAAAAGGAGCTTTATAGAGACTCCCAATGACCAATCCTCGCATGAATTGCTAAGGATCCAATAAGTTGAACATTAATTCCTTCAGACATGTCAATTGGGCAAATATGTCCATAGTGACTAGGATGGATATTTCGTATTTGAAAACTAGGAGGCAGGAACCAACTAACCAACCAATTTCATTTTCTTTATGTGGTCATATACCAATTTCAATTTTAAAAAATATGATGGACTATGAAAAGCTGTATGGTTAAGCTAAGCAGTGAACAATACATAAAGTCATAATCAATTACTCTCATGGTAATTATAAAGTGCATCATTGATCAACTTCAAATCCCGCATTCTAAATGTAATTGAAATAAACCATAATCATCAAAGTTAATGAGGTTGAATGAATCTACTTACGGCGCGCTTAGGAAGGCCCACAGTCCAGCTCACCAAACAATACACCACCCCAACAAACAAATGTATTACTGACACAAAACTGCACATATAAACTCAAATACATCACAACCATGCTAACTTGTGCAGCTTCATGAACAAACTTCTTAATCTACATTGGGGATTACGATCTATACGTACTAAGGATAAGGGAAGTAATTGTAGAGCTTCTTGTTGATTATGTTGAAGATCACATTAAGAAAGTACCTACAAAAAAAGTAAGGACGGATCAGAAATTTTACAAATAACAGTTGACAGTTTAAGCGTTCCGAGGTGGAGAAAGTTTAGTTCTGCGTGCCATGGCGCAAGTTAGAGAGAGCACGTGACATGTACCACATGAAGAAGAAGAACCCGGTTACAAGGGCCGGGTACTTCTCGAAGAACCCGATTGGAGCCACCTTAGCATCCCTGCGAAAACCACGGGTCAGAAAAGGCAAAAGGGTTAATTCATCGGTTCGGCGCCAAAAAAATGGTCTGGGTTACGGGTTAGAACGGAGAAAACGGATCTCACCCGGCGGAATCACTTCCTTCAGCCGGCGAAGACGCAGCGGCCATGCTCGGCCGGAGAATCTCTTTTTTGGTAGTGGGAAGACAGATTCCGATGGCCGGCGAGCTTTCAAGTAGAATAGCTGGCCGGAGTTGCCTCCCCCATATGAGGTTACCGCCATCTCCAACAGCTCCGATTGTTTTCACGGTGGCGAAGCTGGTGGTGGGGATGAGCCTTGACGGCTGCTTTCGCAGTGCTGGGACGCTGGGAATGCCGGTGGCGCGTGAGAGAACTCGGGACTCCATAGGTTTTAGAGAGAGAAAATGGGTGTTGTGTTACTCTGTTAACTATGCTGAGGTGTTTAGTTCATGTCGCGGGAGAGAAAGAGAGAGAGAGTGATGGGAAGAGCAACGACGACCGTTTGAGTGGATGTCAAGTGGCGGAATGAGCGGTTAATATTTTTTGGATTTATTTGTTTTACCCTTAAACTGATATGGTACTTCGCGGGCCATGATAAAATAGTATTTTTTTGATTTATATTTTTTTTAATATCTTCCCAAAAATTTATGTTTTTTAATATCTTCCCAAAAAATTTATGTTTTATAGTACAAAGAGTAAAGAGTTCTGGGTAGGGATGTTCAACCAACTCTACGAATAGAAATTATAGTTTTTTGTCTTCCTATTCGATATTTTGAGAAAATTTTTTTTTGATTTACCCTACCAAATTAGGTGTAATATTTTTACCCGACTTCTTACCCGAGTAATTGAATAGGAAGTTGGATAAACACTTTTATAACTATTAATTTTTGTATCATTTTAACAATTCAATTAAATAACATGCACCAATTTAATAACACAATAAATCAATAACACTAAAATTTAAAACAACTACAATAACAATTACAATAAAATATAAGAAAACGTGAATATCAATCCATCATAATTGTTATACAAATATAATAATAATTATTTTAAGTTTAAACTATATGAAAACACATTAAAATAATAACTAGTTCAATAGATCACCAGTTTATTACAAATCATGTAACCTACATAAAAAACAAGTCCATATTTTCGCAACTCAAACATCTACAACAATAATAATGTTATAATATAAATTATACTACACAAATACTGTTATAATTACTAAAAAAAATATAAAAAAATTAAATATATTTTTTACAGGTAGAGTAGGGTAGGAATGTGAAAATTGATGGGTATTTCTCATTCCTAACCAATTTAATCGGAAGACCAAAACTTCTACTGTATTCCTATCCAATTTTTACGGCTAGTCGTTCAATAGGGTAGGGTAGGGTCGGGAAGGATAGTAAATTGCGGCCAATCAAAAATTTGAATACCCCTAATTCTGGTGGTATCAAACATAAATAACTTGATTCTGACTGATATAATCTGTTTAATTTCTTTTGTACGAAGAAAATGTCTACTTAGTTTTTATTTGTGAATATAGTATTTTATGATTCTTGTAAAAGTGTTGATTTTTTTGCTTGTTTTTGCTAGATATGAGTCCAGTAGGTTTTTAATTTATGAATTACCTAGGATTTGTGGGTTTAGTCGAAATTGGTCTTTGAATTCTCACTAAGTGGTTATGCAAGTTAATTTTAACACAATAAATTTTATAAATAAATTGAGTTATTATGCAGACATCTGATACAATTAATAAATTAAGTTGAGTCACAATTGCCTAGTATTAGACACGAACTTATAAACTTAAAAAGGGAAGATCCGAATACAATAACCCGCATTATTTACTCCGCAAAGGTAATTACTTAGAAAATTATAATTAACCATTCGAACTAGTGGCCTAGTGGTAAGTCATATCCGTTTACGGTTATTCTTGACTCCCATGTGAATTATTAAGTAGGATTCGATTTACGTATGTAATACAGTTTGTTGATTAACTTTAGTGGTGCTGTGGTAACGAACTATCTTTCTGGATTAGTATCTATGACTCAAATTGAATATTTCACAGTGAAAAATCCTCGTGGTCACGTTCAGAAAAAATTACTACTTACTAGTACCCCATCTTTTTATTTTGTTAAAACAAAAAAAGTACAACCATATTGCTATTCGAGTAGTGCATAAAGAAATCAATGGTGTGGAAAGACAGAGAGCAGCATGATATTGATGAGGTGGACTTATATAATTTGGGGCTGTGGGAAAAAAAACTGTGGGAAAAAAAAGGTAATTAATTTCAAGGGATATTATAACATGCCTTGTGAAATGTGAGAGTGGGGTGAGGGAGAGCCATAAGGTTGGGGTTTTATCTTATCCTCAAGTGAGAGGCTTGTGAGGAAGGACCTGTCTTATCCAATCCTTGTAATCCTCTGTTTTGTCAATACCCTTATCAACTTGTTCTCCTCTTTCCTGTGATGGATGGGCTGTGCATTATTATTGTGACAACGATTTCAAAAAAAAAAAAAAATTGAAAAATGAAAACATTTAGAAATCAAGTGTTATTAGGATTTAAAAAAATGATTAAATTTATTGATCCAATGGTACGATAAGCGATAAAATCACAATAAAAAAAATTGAACAGTTATGATCATAATAATTTTATTAAATTATATCACCGTTATATCATTAGATCAACAAATTAAGTTAGTTTTTTATATTTCAACAACTATTGATAGGGTGTGTTGATTCTGGTTCAAAAATAAGTTTAGTCCTACCAAATTATCATGAAGATTCGAATTTAAACATTAAGCTATTGTGGCGCTAACCCTATTGAGTTTGTCCCTCACCACATTCTTAGTTGTTGATGAGCCCGAATCCAATTGGGCCAAACCCAATTCATGAAGTAAGTACAAATTAGCTACGAAGCATTTTTAGCTTAGCTCATGAATTTGACCCAATTCAGAGTTCAAGAAGTCTAAAAAGATCAGAGCACTTGGAGAGTAATTACCAGGATAGTTACTCTCGAAGATCAAAATTATCTTTAATTGTACCTATCATGAGATGTAGTTATCCTCTCCGAAGGATTAGTCATCCGTCCCTTCATGTCACCACTTCAACTAAGGCTCTATGTCAATAAATTATAATCCCTCTACACATGAGGGACATACCTTTACATCTCTACATCTCACACAACTATCTCTCTACACCTAGAGTTTGCCTGTGCTCTATTTTCCCTCAACTACTTATAACAAAGTCCTTCGGCCACCGTTGTCCCCTTCAAAGTGGAGTAAGTTACATTGACCGAACTATTCTATATATGTGTGTTGCTTGTGTGGATCTCATTTTTATATTTACTGCATTTGTTACCTATATTAATTACTCGACAGGTGGTGTATAAATTTACTTTTGTGTATCATTAGTTTGACACCGTCCATGGGAACGATTTGACTTTCACCCTACAGTCTTCCTACCTTCAAGACTACCTTCAATGGTGATCACAACAAGATCAATGAATTAACAACCAAAGGATAACGACCTAGCCCGTTAGGAGGAGACACCACCTCCGCCTCCGCCTCCACCAGCGAAACTATCCACTACGGCAAATCCTGTGGTGGGGCAATAGTTTTTGGAGACCATGCTGTTGCTGATGAGTCAAAACTAGCAAATTCTCCAACTGATGCCTGCCTCACGAGGCATCGCCCCCTAATAAATAAGAGGAGCTGCACTCCCTCCAATTAGAGAGGTCCCACATCCTTTCCCCTCAGGGTCCCAAGGTGTCCCCCAGCGCGGCACCCAACGCTAGTGAGCCCCCATGCAATGCCCGGGCACCCCTCGCTAGGGAGTTCCCCCTTCGGGCGCAGGTGCCTCGCATGCTCCTCTTCCTCCTCATGTACCAGCTCCGCCCCCACACGCTGCCAACCATCCAGGGCAAGAGGATGAGGGAGAGAACCAGTATGAGGATCATGAGAGCTACTACATGCTGGAACGAAAAATCTCAAGAATCATTGACAGTCCGTATATATCGAATTCAAAAAAAATTTCTTTAAAACTCTAGAAGGTGGAATTAGGGTTTATCTTTGAGATCGCTTTGGATTGATCTTATCTCAGCACGAACACAAAAACTAAGAACAAACGTGGAAGACAGCTCGACAAACACGACCTTCTGTCGTATATCCCCCAACGTCAAAATTTGAATGTAGTGTAAGCTGTAAGGACCATCAAACTTCTGCTCTCTCTCTCTCTCAGCCTATCTAAAAACACATGAGTAATGAATTGATGCTGATTTTAAGAGTCTAGACGTCTATATATAGGTTACGACAGAAACCCTAAGGAGAAATAAGGACCGGACTCCTAATGGACCTAGGATTCCTATGTTCAACCCATAACTAACATCTTACAGTCCATTAATAATAAGTTAGTCCACTAAATACTTATTATTGATCTCTTGAGCCTTATTTCAAAATTATATTCGAACTCCTTATTATTATATGCTTAATAATCTCTCTACGTTTAAGATTATAAATGTTCATCAATTAAATAAATTACTGATAACTATATTTAATTGACTTATTTTATTCCTTAAGACCTTACCGCTCAACTTATTTGCCATGTCGGATAATGAAATCCACCTGCAGGGTTTGACCTAGATAAAACTTAAGAAATTGCTCAAGAGGACATCATCAGCCCATTTAAATACTAAGACATAGTTTCCTTTAATAATTAATTTTCTCCATGCAAATAATATCGTCTCCTAATTCACCGAGCTTATTGACTCAATATGAATCTCACTCTTTGATGAATTAAAATAACAAACATTATATGCACGTGATAATTAACTATTTTAGGATTAAGAACATAAACAATCATAATAATCATAAAACATTTATTATCTTATTGAATCAGTAAAAGATAATAACCTCAACATAGGTCTGTTCAATACACAAAGTATACAGTGCAATAATCCGAGACATTAACCAGTCTCCTACAATCAAAACAAACTATGCCAGAATATTACACTACGATCATATTGATGGTGTGTCTAATTTCATGTAGGATTGTGAAACCTATACTCATATTATACAAAGATCTAATAACCTGATCTTCTATGCATAAGCTGAATTTTATACACCAAATTATTTAAAATGTAAAATATAAGACACACATGCATACCATATATCAAATATAATGCAAACATTTTGTCCATATAGATTTTCAATAAAATGAAAATAACAAGCTTCTATTAATTAATAAAACAAGTTTTACTACAAAAAAGTAAATTTTTAGTATATAACTCTCACTATCATGATCCAACTAAGGGTGTCCCAAACCAATGGGATGAAAAGATTAATGAGATGCAAAGTCAACTTGGCAATGTCGTCAACGCCATCAAAGCACAGGCGCCAGAGATTGTGGATTATCTAGTAAGGCGTACAGATGTTGTCAACTACCCTCTACCGTTAAAGTTCAAGATGCCTGCCATTGAGATCTTTGATGGGACCAAAGATCCATTCAACCATCTTGACATGTA